CAATTTTCTTGCATATATATGTGGGAGTGGAATTGTTGGGTCACATGATGACTCTGTGTTTAACATTTTGAGGAGTTGCCAATTGTTTATCAAAGTGGTTCCACCATTTAACCCTTCCAGCAATGTATGAGAGTTGTTATTTCTCCTCACCAACACTGGTCATTGTGTCTGCTTTATTTTAGCCATCCTAAGTGGGAGTAAAATGGGATCTCATAGTGATTTTGATTTGCATTTCGCTAATGGCTAGTGATGGCTCGGCACAGTGGCCCAGGCCTGCAATCCCAGTACTTTGGGAGGCTAATGTGAGCAGATCACTTGAGTCCAGGAGTTCAAGACTAGCCTGGGCAGCATGGTGAATTCTTTGTCTCTACAAAAAAAACAAAAATTAGGTGGGCATGGTGGCACACGCCTACAGTCCCAGCTACTTGGGAGGCTGAGTTGGGAGATCACCTGAGTCCCGGGAGGTTAAGGCTTCAGCAAGCCATGATCATGCCACTGCACTCCAGCATGGGTGACAGAGTGAAACTTGCTTTCAAAAGAAAAAAGGCCATTTGTATACGTTATTTTGGGAGAAATGTGTATTCCAGTCCTTTGCCTATTTCTTAATTGGGTTGTCTTTTTATTGTTATGAGTTCTTTATATAGTCTGGATATAAATCCCTTATCACATATATGATTAGCAACTACTCTCTCCCACTTGGTGGGTTTTTAATTTTTTTAAAAAAATTTTATTTTATTTTTTATTTTTTTTTTTGAGACGGAGTTTCACTCGTTACCCAGGCTGGAGTGCAATGGCGCGATCTCGGCTCACCGCAACCTCCGCCTCCTGGGTTCAGGCAATTCTCCTGCCTCAGCCTCCTGAGTAGCTGGGATTACAGGCACGCACCACCATGCCCAGCTAATGTTTTTGTATTTTTAGTAGAGACGGGGTTTCACCATGTTGACCAGGATGGTCTCCATCTCTTGACCTCGTGATCTACCCACCTCGGCCTCCCAAAGTGCTGAGATTACAGGCATGAACCACCACGCCCGGCCTAAAATACATATATTTTTTAGAGATTAGAGTCTCACTATGTTGCCCAAGCTGGTCTTGAACTACCTGGGCTCAAGCAGTCTCCCATTTTGGCCTCCCAAAGTGCTGGGGTTACAGGCGTGAGCCACCATGCCTGGCCTTTTTAAAAAGTTTTAGAGTTTTCTCTCTTACAGTTAGGTCTGTGGTCCATTTTGAGTTTATTTTTGTATATGGTGTGGGGTAGGGGTCCAACTTCCTCCTTTTGCACGTGGATTTCCAGTTGTCCTGACACCATTTGTTGAAAAGACTTTCTCTGTTGAATTATCCTGGCACCCTGCACTTAATTTTTTTTTGCCGCTTTGCCCAAGAAGCACTTACATTTTTGCTGTTCCCAAATTGTCCTCCAAAGAGGTTACACTGATAGAGTTGCATCCATGGGAGCTGAGACTGTATCTCAGATTGGGCCCCTACGGTTAGCAAGGACACTGATGAGCTCAAGCTTATCAGGGACACACAACAGAGTGGAGTGTGGGAGGAGCTTGAGAGTGTCATGAAAGGGGAGGTTAAGGAAGCAAAAATGTTTCTCTCAGAGAAGAGAAAAATGCAAGGGAATGTATATTTCTTCTGTGAGTAGATGGGCCTGAGTTTGAAGCCCTGTTCTGCTCCCTTCCAGCTGAGTAGTCTTGGTCAGTTATCAGATCCAACTCTCCGAATCTGTTTCATCATGTTAAACCAAGATGGTGACCACAACCACCTTTGTAGGGTTGTTGTGAGGAGCAAATGTATGTAAATATCCCAGCCCACAATAGGCTCTCAATAACCGTAGCTATTGTGACATTTCTATATGTGGTATATGTGGCTGAGATCATGTGATTGTGGGGGAGAGTGGCAGCCATTTGGTGAGTGTGAGATTTTTAATCGTGACTGATCACATGTAGAAACTTGGATCTACTGGTAAATGTCACTGTCACCCAGAGCAAGGCAGTACTTGAAGTCTTTGCTGTGACATGTTAAGGGGGGGAGAGCTGTGACTGAGATTGGATGTGACAGCAAGACAGATCCTGAGTGACAGAATGGAATGGAGTGGAGGGAGGCAGGCTGCACCAGGCAAAGGTGTGTCCCCAACAGGGGCTGCCTGGGAGTTCAGATGTCAGGGCAAGTGTCTGTACTGTCTCCTCCCCAGCAGACTTCCCTCCCTACTTTCTGAAAGCAAGGAGGAGAGGACGGGGCTTTCCTCTTGGAAAGGAGATTTTGATCAGAGTGTAGAATCTACAATACCTAAGAAGTTAAAGTGTAAGAGCCTTGGTGGGTATCACCACCCAAGGCTCAGGAAAAGAACCTGCTGGTACTGTGTGTGAAACAGGTAGGGTAGAAGTTAGATTGGCTTCTCCTCTCCGCTTTAGTCTTCAGAGTGGCCGATAAAAACAGAATTGAAACCTAAGCATTCCTTCCTCCTCTCTGTCCCCTGGGGGAGGGAAGAGAGAATAAATGCCACATCTCATTAAGCTTTTACGAGCTCAGGCAGGCAGAGTGGACCCACACCAGAGGCAGGCAGAGGGGCTGGGGGAGGCTGCAAGAAGGATTCCCCAGCTCTCTCAGGGAAGATGTGTTCCAGAACTTGGAGGCTGGCTCCACAAAAAATGAAATAAGGTTTAACAGATGTGGGAGTAACAGCTGCTTTTATTAACATCAGAAGGGCAACAGTACAGGAAGTTGGGTAGATGTGGGGACAACAGAGACTGTGACAGAGGCAGGACTGCAGATCTATGGAAATTGCCTGGAAGAGTCAGCTGCAGAGCATGAGAATCCTGAAGGTAAAAGAGGGAAGGGAAAGACTCCTCTTTGATCTTATGGAGCTGAAATAAGGAGATCTTAAACATGAGTGAGAACTCTGTTGCCCCAACCTAAACTGACTAAATCCAAGGCATAAAACATTGGCATGGGCTGGGCACTCATGTCGCTCATGTCTGTAATCCCAGCACTTTGGGAGGATGAGGCAGGCAGATCACCTGAGGTCAGGAGTTCGAGACTAGCCTGACCAACATGGAGAAACCCCACCTCTACTTAAAATACAAAATTAATTAGCTGGGCATGGTGGCACATGCCTGTAATCCCAGCTACTCGGGAGGCTGACACAGGAGAATTGCTTGAACCTGGGAGGCGGAAGTTGTGGTGAGCCAAAATTGCACCATTGCACTCCAGCCTGGGCAACAAGAGTGAAACTCGGTTTCCAACAACAAACCACTGGTATGGATATTAGTTTGAACAGGAAAAATGAGAACTCTCTCTTTGAGCTCAAAGAAATCAAAGAATTAAAACCCTGATTAAGGCTGCACAATGATCCAGAGTGTAGGGATGGGAGAGAGAATAAATATCCTAGTGACCCACATATAAAACACTACAAACAAGAACGAGACTTGAGGTTAATGGAAGGTCATCTTGCCCATGCTGCCAGGGAGCCAACAGTGCCACATGGGCATTAATGCACACTGCATACCCTCAGTCCCTGCCTGGGTTGGAGGGTACACAGATCACAGCAGTAGAGCTGTCCAGATTCAGGCAGGCAGGGAACACCCGCTGCTGACACAGTGGGAGGCAGGGATGGGGAGCCTGGCCCTGGCTTTGTGGGAGTGTAGAGAGAAGGAAGGTAGCGGGGGAAATCAAGCCACGGGAGCAGTGCCTGTGAGACTGGGGTGACCATGGGAGGGCAGTAGCAGATACAAGAGTAGTGGCCTTCCCAGGCCAAGGCCCATGCTCTACCATCTGGCAGGAAAGCCAGGGTTGATAAAAGCCACACAGTTGGACTCTGGGCAAGGCCCACTTTGGCCAATTAGAAGATACACTGTGGCCAGGCAGGCAAGCTCCTCCCAGCTGGGGAAGGGGCGAGAATCCCTGGGCCTTGCCCAGTCCTGAGCTCTAGGTGTCTGCAGAGAAGCGCAGTGGTGAGTTAGTGTTAAAGAAAGCATCCAGTGAGGCAAGAGGGGCTTGGGTAGCACCCTTTGCCTGTCACTTCCGCAAAAACTTCTTGTTGAGGAGGAAGATGAGAAGGTTGACATTGACTTTGGCCTTGTTGAAAAGTTTCATGACAGCCACACCCTCATACTGGAGCTGCAGGAGGTCCTAGGAGGGAAGAGGCAGGGAAGGGAGTTTAAGGGGTTCTGAATGTGGTCTAGCCAGACAGTGTACAAAATACTCACATCATGGGGCCTTCTGCAGTCACCAGTGGCACTGGCCACTGAAGCAGGGCACTGAAATCCCACTTCACAAATGAAGAAACTGAGGCAAGAGAGGTACAGTGACTTGATCAAATGTCAATTCAAGCAGAACCAGGGCTTGAAATCATTTTTCTTTTTTTTTTTTTTTTGAGATGGAGTCTTGCTCTGTTGCTCAGGCTGGAATGCAGTGGTGTGATCTCAGCTCACTGCAACCTCCGTCTCCTGGGGTCAAGTGATTCTTCTGCCTCAGCCTCCCAAGTAGCTGGGATTACAGGCACCCGCCACCATGCTTGGCTAATTTTTGTATTTTTAGTAGAGACAGATTTCGCCATATTGGCCAGTCTGGTCTTGAACTCCTGACCTCAGGTGATCCGCCTGCCTTGGCCTCCCCAAGTGCTGGGATTACAGGTGTGAGTCACGGCGGGCAGCTGAAATCATTCTTCTTATTCAAAAGACAAAACAGCAGAGCAAAAGGATTTGGATTTAAAACCACTGCTCGGCTGGGTGTGGTGGCTCACACCTGTAATCCCAGTACTTTGTGAGGCCGAGGTGGGCGGATCACAAGGTCAGGAGTTCAAGACCAGCCTGACCAACATGGTGAAACCCCGTCTCTACTAAAAATAACTTTAAAAAATTAACCGGGCATGGTGGTGTATGCCTATAATCCCAGCTACTCGGGAGGCTGAGGCAGAATAATCGCTTGAATCTGGGAGGTGGAGGTTGCAGTGAGCTGAGATCTCCAGCCTGGACGACAGAGCAAGACTTCGTCACACACATACACATACACACACACACACACACACAGTTTTCCTGAACACTGGCCTATGACTTAGGTCAGCTTCTTAACCTTTTCGCCTCAGAGCCTGTAAAATGGGGATAATACTTCAGAGCGGTGGAGAGGATTAAAGGAGGTAACATGTAAAGTCCCTGATATGTGATAGGGTTTCAAATATTAATCCTGTTTCTGACACCAGCGGCCTACTCCAGTCTCCCTGATGCTTGGTAGTGGGGTGTCAGGGAATGGGGAAAGGGGGCCTTGGGCTGCACAGACCCCCACCCTTCTCTTCAGGAACAGAAGATACTGATCGGGTGAAGAGCCGAGCTGGTGTCATCTGAGGACTAGGGAAGCGAGGCCAGCTGCTCTCTCCAGGCCAGCACCTAAAGCCCAGCAGGTGTCTTGCAGGTTCATGGAACTGTCCTCTCACCTGATAGTGAAGCTGGAATCGCTCCATGTCCACACCCAGGAACTTGGCATTTACTTCAAACTTTCCTGCCTCATCTCCCGGGGTGATGTCAAAGATGACGTTTCTGAAGCTGTCAGGAACCAGATTCAAAACAGGAACCCTACTGCCTCTTTCCAGGGCTACAGCCACATTCTTGCACCCACTGCTCCTCATCCCGGGCAGCAGTGTCATCTGGAGCCAGCTTTCCCCTCTGTCACTCCAGAGGGCCCAGCTCACTGTCTCCTCCCACTTTTACTTCTGCTCCCAACACCATGTCTTTAGCTGCCCCACCCTACCCAGCTGTTCTCACCTCTCCAAAGCTTTCCCAGTACCCTTTGCCTCAGGGCACCTAGAATTGTGCTAGACCATGTCCATGGCCCTTCACATTCTGTCTGGGCATGCTCTGTCTCCGCCATCATTCTAGCAGCTCCTCCAAGGCCGGGACCATGCTCCTCCTTCCCTTCCACCCAGTGTCCAGCCCAGAGTTCCACCCCCAGGTTAGAGGACAGGAAGGGGCTGACATCCTGCCCTCCAAAGACACCTACTGAGAGGCGGGAAGATCTTCAATTTCCACCAAGACACCCTTTTCCAGGAGCTGAGCAGCAGTGTAATGAAGACAAGGCTGTTTCTTCCCCTTCCCAGAACTCCTGATTAAAAGAAGGCCCCAGAGAATTCATCCCACAAACTCTTTACCGCCAAAGACACTCATTCCCTGTGGCTGGAAAGGAAATGAGACCCCGAGGAAGACTTCTCACTGATGGAAGACAGAGGAGGGGGATTGCATTTGAGCCCAGGACTTTGTAAGTGAGGCTCAAAGACCAGACTTAGGAAGGAACTGTGCTGTGCTGGGTGAGATTCCCCTTTCAAAGCTGGGAGATGGTGGGGCAAAGGTGACATGGGCAGAGGCGAGAAGTCACACATAACCTTCTGAGTGCAGGAAAGCAGCACCTACTTGGAGTTGGGGGCCAGGTGGTCCAGGCAGGCCCGGATGTACTGGCTGTAGTAGTCCCCCTGCTCCTCATAGAAGGTGGTCTTAGTGCTCAGGCCCTGTAATGTGGCCTGAAGCTTCACCAGCTCTGCTTTCCGCCTGTGCCTGTGTCTGTGCTGGTTGCAGATGTCCTGGGGTTGGGGAACAGTGGGAGGGATGAGTGGTCCTTCCTGGCAGGAGAGCCTTAGGGCCTGACACAGGCCCAAGAACTACACACTGTGAGGCTCTTCAGAAGAGCAGGCTTCAACGCTGTTTTCCTAGAAGGACAATTTTAAGGATGGTATCTCAAATCCTCAAAGCATGTCCTCAGGGCCTCTTCCCATTGAAGACTAACTGGTTTCAAGGCTCTTTGTTTTTTAGTACAAGAAAGTTGCAAGGATACTTTTGTAGGTCATAAGCAAAGGACTGCCTCCCTCAGACCTTCTGATCTGGGCACATTATCTGGCCAATGTGGAAAAAGCAAAGAGAGAGAGAGTTGCAAGAACACCTCCTCCCTAACTTCACGATCTTTCCTTCAAGGCAGGTGTGGTGATTCACACCTGTAATCCCAGCACTTTGTGGTAGCCCAAGGCGGGCAGATTACTTGAGGTCAGGAGTTTGAGACCAGCCTGGCCAACATGGTAAAACCCTATCTCTACTAAAAATACAAATGTCTGGCAGTCAGGTGCAGTGGCTCACACCTGCAATCCCAGCATTTTGGGAGGCCAGGGTAGGAAGACCCTCAGATCAGGAGTTTGAAACCAGTCAGGCCAACATGGTGAAACCCTGTCTCTATTAAAAATACAAAAATTAGCCAGACATGGTGGTGGGCACCTGTAATCCCAGCTACTCGGGAGGCTGAGGCAGTAGAATCACTTGAACTGGGGAGGTGAAGGTTGCAGTGAGCCAAGATTGCACCACTGCTCTGCAGCCTGGGTGACAGGGCAAGACTCTGTCTCAATTAAAAAAAAAAAAAATTGGCTGGGTGCGGTGGCTCACGCCTATAATCCCAGCACTTTGGGAGGCTGAGGTGGGAGGATCACAAGGTCAAGAGATCAAGACCATCCTGGCCAACATGGTGAAACCCCATCTCTACTAAAAAAATACAAAAATTAGCTGGGCGTGGTGGCACGCACCTGTGGTCCCAGCTGCTCGGGAGGCTGAGCCGGAAGAATCGCTTGAAGCCAGGAGGCGGAGGTTGCAGTGAACTGACATTGTGACACTGCACTCCAGCCTGGGGACAGAGCAAGACTCTGTCTCAAAAAGAAAAAAAGATTAAAAAAAAAAAATCTTTCCTTCAAAAATGACCCTGAGCCTTCCCCTGGCTGGTGACAATTTTGGGTGGGCACTCATCAGGGAGGGGCCTGCCAACACTATGGATCAACATGTACATGCACGCACATACACACGGGCACACAGAGCCCAGGCCCAGGTCGTTACCTTGGCCAGGTCGTCCAGTAGCCCCTGGTAGCCATTGCTGGCGCTGACCAACCCCAGGCCTTCAAGTCGGCGCAGGTTCCGCAGGACGCGCCGCTGCTTCTCTGCCAGTGGCAGGAGGGAGTGAGCTGTCAGCGAGCGGTGTCGTCGCAGTGGCTCTGGGGTCTGGGCTGCACAGGCCTGGCGCTGGCTCATCAGCTGCTTGTGGGCTGCTTCCTGGGGACACAGAGACGCTAGAGGGGTCTACCAGGCCCTACCTTTCTGTCCCCACACGAGGGAAGGCCCCAAGGGCACCAACAACCAGGGGAGGCCTGAACATTTTTCTAGGTGTAAAGAAAGTGCCCCAGAGCCCAGCCTCTGCAGGGTATGGCTGGGCAGGGCATAGCTTAGGAAGACAATAAAGGTATAACATCATAACACACAGTGTCACACATGGGAGGGCCTCATGGATCACCACAGGGGAGAAGTGGCCCAAAGGAAACCCAAACTGAAGCTGCGGATTCCGGACAGACACCAGCAGTGACTTCCTAACAATGGACCTTTGTGACGGCACAGGGTGTTCGAGGCATTTCCCTTTCTGTTCTGTTTTGGGATATCCCCCTAGTGGCCATCCCCACCTTTTCTCTGGGAAGACCCGGGTTCAGTCTTCACTCCAGCTGGCCCAACCTGCCCCTGGCCCCCGCGCGTCTACCACCTTCTGCCTCCAGGCCTTCTAGCAGACCACTCTTTTCTGAGTGCAAGCTTTCCAAGGGAGCCTTCCCAGACCGCCTCTCAGTGCCCGCCATGGCCCTAGTGTTGGTGCTGGATTCAGCGTGTGCAGTGGGGAGATGGGTGGGGCCCCATGACTCTGCAGCCTGAGGCTTCCCAAAGCTAAGGCTGTGCCCCTCACCCTGTAGGCCTCCAGAGTTCTCATTACTGGTGAACACAGGTGTTTGCTTCTGGCCAACTGTGGGTGAGGTTCAGAGGAGGGAAGCAGCGGTGCAGGTAGGGTGAGGCAGGGATGAATGAGACAGAACCTGTGGGCTGGCCCGGCCACTCACCTGCTCTCTGGAAGCCGAGAAGGACAGGAGCTCCTTGAGGGTGTCCCCAGGTTGGAACTGTATGATATCCACCAATAGCTGCTTGGTGCTGTACAAGGAGGGCAGGGATGGAGGAGAGGTGAGGGGCAGGGGTAGGGGCAGGGCCTGGACATGGGACTGGCCAGAGGTCTGAGAGTGAGTGGACCCTGCTCTATAGCATGGCTGCTAGGAGGTAAGGAGAGTGCGCGAGGGATGGGGGATGACGTTGCCTAGAATACCCTCCGCACAAACTTTCTTCCTTTGAGTCCTTCAGCTGAGCACACACATCCTCCCTGCCCAGCCATCGCTTCTCCCTAGCTCTCAATGCATCTGACACCGACCGCCCTCTTGGTGGTGCTCTGACTGTGTTCAGCCCTAGCCCAACCCTGCTCTCAGCCCTTTGACGGCAGGACAAAGACAATACTAGGCTCACTTGTTTATGAGTGAATTAACGGGTGGAAGGGGTTCCCTTGTTGGCAGGGAGCTTGAGCTGGTACTTTGGCTCCTCGTCTGCCCAGATGAGCAGCCCAGCCCTTCTCACCTTTGCAGAACTGGGGAAGAAAAAGCTCAGGCCTATCTCCTAACCATCACACTCAACAAGAATGCGGAATTATGCCGGGTGTGGTGGCTCACACCTGCAATCCCAGCACTTTGGGAGGCCGAGGCAGGCAAACCACCTGATGTCAGAAGTTCAGAACCAGGCTGGCAAACATGGTGAAATCCCATCTCTACTAAAAATACAAAAATTAGCCAGGCGTGGTGGCAGGTGCCTGTACTCCCAGCTACTCGGGAGGCTGAGGTAGGAGAATCGCTTGAGCACAGAAGGTGGAGGTTGCAGTGAGCTGAGACTGTGTCACGGCACTCCAGCCTGGGCGACAGAGTGAGACTCCATCTCAAAAAAAAAAAAAAAAAAAAAAAGAATGTGGAATTAGAACATGAGCTCTACAACCCACTGGCTGTGAAACTTTGGACAAATCACATAACTCCTGAGTCTTTCCTCAACTATGAAGAGGGGAAGCCACCATCTACCTCATAGCTTGTTCCTGAGAATAAGCGATAACATATAAAAAGCATCTGGGCCAGGCGCAGTGGCTCAAGCCTGTAATCCTAGCACTTTGGGAGGCTGAGGCAGGTGGATAGCTTTGAGGCCAGGAGTTTGAGATCAGCTTGGACAACATCGCGAGACTCTGTGTCTACTTAAAAAAGAAAAAAAGCATTTGGTAAACCGTACAATATGCAAACACCTGCTGTTGCCAATATCTTTGCCATTCCTTTACCTTCAGTACAACACAGAGCAAAAAGCTGAGGATGCCAGATGGAAAAGCGCCAAGGCTGCCACGAGGGGGATAAAGGTAGGCTTCAGGGAGAACTTCCTGAAGGATAAGGGAGCCCAGCAAGAAGGTGGAATGGGCCCCTCAGAGTAAGGCTATTTTGCCAGGCTCAGGGCTGGGGTGCTCAGGTAGGGAGGGGCAGAGGCCAGCATCACCCACCTCAGAAGCAGGCTACGCGTGTTGGAGTCATCGGCGTCTGCCTCTAGTCCTTCAAACTTGTTGGTCAGTGTCAGGGACACTTCTAGTTTGCCCAGGTCCGTGTGCCCACCTGCAGCAATGCTCTCCCCTGAGGTATGGTGAGGAATGAGAGGGAGACAGGCATACACACATACACACACACACACACACGCATACACACCCCCCCACACACACCGATGGGGTCACGTTAAATCGGCTGCTCAATGTGCCCCTCTTCCAGGAAGTTTTCCTACACCAGCCCGCAGAACCACCTTGTGCCCGCAACCCTTAGCACTGATGGAAGGGCTGTTAACCAGAGTACCCTTGCGTTACTGGGGCTGTGCCGCCCCTACACCCTCAGCCCTGGGTGCTCTGAGGGTAGAGGAACCATTCCCCCTGAGCCTGCAGCTCCTGGTTCTCTCCAGTCATCATCTTCATTCTGTCCTTCTTCCCAGTAAGTCGGCTTCCTCCTATTCCATGGCCTGGAAACCCCTCCTCCTCAGCCAGACCTAATGAGACCCTTATCCCTGTGTCTCCTGCACATCACTTAATTGGCCATTTACATGATGATCATGGGTCCCTCTACTGTCTACCTTCTCCACATCAATCTGTGTTCCTGTGCCCATGTCAGGATCAGAGAGAGAGTGTGGAACTAGCTGCCTGTCACAGGACCTAGACTGCATGGGCACGCTCCCATTTGCTGTTGGTCTGCCTGTCTCTCCCTCCCTGCAGGCCCCCCAGCTGGCCCCAACTGCCAAGGGGGGCACGCACCGATAAGGTCAAGGATAGTGGGCAGCTCCCCGAGGTCCTCCAGGAGCTCATGCAGGGGGTCTTGGTGATTGGGGGCAATGCAGTCCTGGTGTTCCAGCAGCAGCTGCAGGACGGAAGAGGAAAAGGAGGTGCAGGGTCTGAGCCAGGCTCCCCCTTGGGCCAGCCTACTACCCCGTCACGGGCTACCAAACCCCCATCCACCCAGCCAACACCCTGCAGATCACAGCCCTCACCCTGTGCGTGTTGACTAGCTCCCCCACGGTGATGTACACCACAGGTTTGGCCACAGCCACCATATCTGAGTACTCGTCTACTGCAAAACGCTCCTCTGGCTCTGGCACCTGGCAGGCTCTATGGATGAACTTCCTGTCCGGAGGGAGGGCATGTGAGAGTGGGGGGGGCCAGCACCCCATACATGTTCTGTCCCCATCATTTTCCCGGCCTTCTCCAGCGACTGCTCAGGCCAATTCAGGCTTTCCAGTCTCAGCTTGTACCCTCTGTCCTGCCCTACCTCCATCCCAGTGACCCCTCAAGCCAATCTCTCTTAATAGTCTCCCTTTCACTCCATTGGGGAGTCCTGCCAACAACCTATCCTCCACCCCACTCACTCCCCTCTTCTCCTCTATTTATGCCTCTTGTCCTCCTGGATTCTGGAGGGGAGAAGTGGGATGTCAAAGATGAGAAGAGGGAAGAAAGGGGACAGAGAGGAAAGGGATCCAAGACCTGAACTTGAGGTGCGTTTCCTCCAGATAGTCGTTCAGGACCTGCAGATGCTGGCTCTGCCCAGAGAAGGCCTTGCCAGCCGCAGCGTGCTGCAGGAGCTGAGCCACAGCCCCCAGGGCATGGCGCTGGGGGGCAGTCAGGGCACCACCAGCTGCCATGGCCACTATGTCGAAGGCATCAGGAGCCACCACAGCTGGGTTCAGGAAGCGGTAATACAGGAGGTTCCCGACTACCTGAGGGCAGAGGAGAGTCTCCCAGAAGTGGCCTGGGTCCGCCTTGACTGCTGCAGCCCCACATTCCCAGCTTGCTTGGCTGGAAGAAACACCTGGGCCAACTCCCTTACTTCAAAGAAAACAGGCCCAGAGCAGGCGGGCAACTTGTTCAAGGCCACACAGCAAACCTGAACAAGAGCTAGGACATGAACCCAGATCTCCTGACAAGAAGCCCGGTGTTGCCCACTCTGTTTGCTTATGCCCCAGCTGCCTTCCCACCTGCCACCTGAAGCCCTGCTGGTGAGCCAGGCTCCATTTATAGGGGGCAACATATTTCCTTCCTTGGATTTTAATGGCATAGGATTCTCTGTGTTTTTTTCTCAGTCTGGGGATCACAGCTACCAGCAGAGCACAGGAGGGATTGGGAGGTGGGGGTGGGGAGACCACACTTGCCTTATAGACCTCGCTCTCTGTGGCATCAGGGAATTTCTCCACCAGAGTTGTCTTTAGGACTTTGGCCACATATCGCATCCCGTACCTGGGGACAAAGAAATAGGTGCACTGTGCCTGTGCCTCTGCCCATGGCTCTCTGTCAGAGGTCAGGGCTTGAGTGCCTGGCTTTCTCTCCTTCCCCAGCCTCAGTCACTCCAGTGTGAAGCTCAACTCCACTATCTACAGCCAGCTCCCTCCACTATCCACAGCCAGCTCCCTGCTGCCTTCCTCCAAACACCTCTGGGTCTTCTCCCTTCTTCCTGCCTTGTGTCAGTAGCCAGGACCAGGGTCCTGTCATTTACTAAATCTCTCATATAGCCTCCAACCTGGCTCAAGAGCCTCTTCTTTGAGAGTCTCTGGTCTCCCCTGCAGAGCACCCCTGATCACCATAGCCATCCTCCATTCCCCCAGAGAGCGCGTTATCCTAAAGCTTGGGTATCTGACACTCACAGCCAAAACCCTGTCCTAGGACAGCCCAGGTGGCTCCAAGGTAGTCAACCTTGTCAGCTATCACAGAGCAGCTGTGAGGGGCCTAGTCTGGGCTAGAGGCAGGGCCCTGAGGCGATCAATGAGCCTGAGCCTGGAGGAGAAGCTCCAGTTTTGACTCCACCACCAAACAGAGATATCTTCTTAGCCTATTTTCTTCCCCTTTGTAAGACTGTCCCCTCTTCTAGAAAATGCAAATGGTCGTTCTTGCCCTCTCTTCTCACAGGGTTTTCTGAGGATCAAGTGAAATTATATCTGTGAGAGTAACGTATAATGGCAGAGTACTATTCAAATAGGCTGGACTTGCATTCTAGCCCAGGCAATAAAACAACACCCCTGTTCTCTCTCCCTCTTCCTCTTCCTCTTTCTTCCTCTCTTTCATTCTTTTTCTTTTTTTCTTTATTCTTTCTTTCATCCTCAAAAAAAAAAAAAAATTGGTCTGGAAAAAGATTTTATGAATAATACCACAAAAGCACAGGCAACAAAAGCCAAAATAAATAAATGTTATTGAAACAAACTAAAAAGCTTCTGCACAGAAAAGGAATCAATCAACAGAATGAAATGAGAACTTACAGAAGAGGAGAAAATATCGGCAAACTATTCATTCAAAAGAGTATTAATATCCAGAATATACAAAGAATTCAAACATCTCAATAGAAAAAAAAAAATCAAATAGGCTGGGCTTTATCGTCATTACTATTCCTATTATGGATGTGCCTCCTACAAATGTAATTCAATTCGTTTAAAAGCAATCTCCACCCCTAGGGTACCGGAGACGGAAGTTTACAGCTCATTGTGTACTTTCCTTTCTTAAGCCTAGACCAATCTCTTCTTACTCCTAATTGTAAACTCTTAAGTAGCCTAGGCAACAGAGTGAGACCCTGTCTCAAAAATAATAATAAAGAAAAATGAGAAAAAAAAAAAAAAAAAGAATGAAATCCTGTCATTTTTGACAACATAGGTGAACCTAGAGGTTTGTGTTAAGCCAAACACAGACAGATACTGCATGATCTCACTCATGGGTGGAATCTAAACAAGGTGATTTCATAGGAGTATAGAGTAGCGTGGTGGTTACCAGAGCCTGGAGAGGGTGGGCGGGAGAGAGAGGATGGGAGAGGCTGGTCAATGGGTACACAATCAGTCAGGTAGGAAGAGTAAGCTCTCTGCTCTATTGCACACAGGGTGACTACAGTTGATAATCATGTATTGTATATCTCAAAATAGCTATAAGAGAGGATTTTGAATGTTCTCAACCACAAAGAAATAAATGTTTGAGGTAACAGATATGTTAATTACCCTGATTTGATCATTCACTGTACAATGTATACATGTATTGAAACATCACACTGTACTCTATGAATATATACAATTATTATGTGTCAAAAATAAATGTAGAAAACCAAATTTATTGACTACGTTTTAAGAAAGGAGAGAACTATAAAGTACTTTATGGGCTTAAAATATTTATTTTTGATATTGGGAACTGAAGAGCCCCATTTTCTCCTCATTTGCGCTCAGATAATCAAGTGTCCCTGAGATCACTTTAGGGTCCCTCCCCTGGCTCCACTGACATCCTATCAGGCCACACACAGACCTGCTGTCTTTCAGCTCAGCTCTCTAGCAGGAGCTTCGAGCATTCCCCACATCTCTCCAGGAACCCCTCTGAGTAGCCCTGGCTCCATCTCCCTCCCTGCCTTCCTCCCTGCAGCACTGTCACCCTGCTCTGCTCCCACGGTGGCCTGGCCCTCTTGAAATCTCACGTGTAGGTTGGGGGGGGGGCTGTTGCACATACGGAATTTGGTCCACAGATGAGGTGATGGCTACAAGGAACTTATCAGTCATGGTGAGGAGGTTGCGTAAGGAGATGTCCAATCGTCTCTGGACCTCGGGGTGGCTCAAGGCCTGCTCCGGGGTGACGTCATAGGGGAGACAGCTATGAGCAGAGAGAGACAAGATATAAGCAGAAGTCCCCTCCAATGGCCTCCTTCCCCAAGGCCCTATTCCTTAAACTCTTGTCCAACAGTAACATCTGATACAGATGTGCTAAGGGGAGCCCAACATCCTAAAGAAGAAAGGGTCAGAATGAGAGAAAGGACTGGAGAGATGCAGCTGGGAGGTGAGGAAGACAGTTGGAGTATCTACAGGGAAGCTGAAAGAATGTAGGAAGGAATGGAGAATCTGGAATCTATGGACATTTCTAAGGGGAACAGATGACAAGTCGGGGGCTGTGCTGCAAATAGTCTTTGGCAGTTTGGAACCATGGGGAGGCTGGGCCAGGGCCCTAGAGTTCCCTCACCTAAAGTCTCCTGTGCCATCCAGAGCAGGCACCAGGATTGCCTGCTGGCCTCAGTGCCTAGGTTTCCCTACTACCTAGGGACCTGAGCAGTGACCCCAGGCTGTAAAGCCAACCTATTTCTACCGTTATCTCGTTTGCCTATTCATCTGTAAATAAAGATATTCATCTATACCTCTATCAATAGGAGTCTAGATCCTAACTCCCAGCAAATATTTTTTTTCGAGACAAGAATCTCGCTCTGTCACCCACAGCTGGAGTGCAATAGCCTGATCTCTGCTCACTGCAACCTCCACCTCCTGGGTTCAAGCGATTCTTCTGCCTCAGCCTTCCGAGTAGCTGGGACTACAGGAGCGTGCCACGATGCTCAGCTAATTTTTGTATTTTCAGTAGAGATGGGGTTTCACCATGTTGGCCAGGCTGGTCTCAAACTCCTGACCTCAGGTGATCCTCCTGCCTGGGTCTCCCAAAGTGCTGAGATTACAGGCGTGAGTCACCATGCTTGGCCCTACTCCCAGCAAATCTGACATATCATTTGCAAGCACTGACATAGCAATTAAGCACATTTGCATATTCATCTGTACTAATTTTATGTTAAGCCCACCAGGTCTGGAGTCATTTACATCAGTTTCATGTTAATTATCAGAGGGGGTCTAAAAGACTACCTTATTCATGCCTACAAAGCTGGTGTCATATTTGCATAAATCAGCATGCCCATTTATATGCCACCTTCAAAGTACACCCAAGCTTCCCCAGTAAGGTCCAAGATACAGCTGATCAGAGAGAGCTCTCCCTCTGCCCTTGTGCTCACCTGCGCTGCCCTGTCTGGGCCTCAGTCTGGTTGATCCAATTCTTATAGAGGTGGACAGGGTCTGTGTGGATGCTGAGCACTTTGTCCTCTAGCACGTCCTGGATAACCTTGCTCAGAATCTCCTGCAGGGCACTCTGTCCCCGCCCATTACGGTAGAATCTCACCACCAGCCTCACCACTGTTGGGTTGCCTGTCACCACGTCTTGGGGCTGCTCCACCTTTGACCTGTGGTTCAAGAGGTCATTGAAGCTAGTCCTCTGCCTTTGTGTAAGACAAATCATTGCTTTTCCTTTTTGAGATTTTGGCTCTCAAGCCTGCTCTGGTGTCCCCCTTTTAAGGAATATCCTGATATCTCTCTCTCATCCTTTGTGCTAGCATGTAGCCATATCCCCCCACTGTGCTGTCCCAGATGTTTTACAGTTTCTCCACAGGAGGTGGAGAAAAGAGGTCTTCTTATTCCATTTCTACCCTTAAACCTCAACAAGCTGTCATCTTATGAAGGAGCCAACAGGGGCATCTCTTAACCCGTTCTCTCCCCATTTCTTTGTTTCTGGAGAGCCTACTTGATTTCCTCCTGGAGTGCTGTCTTGAACAGCTGGAGCAGGAGATAGGCCTCTCGGCGGCTGGAGGCATAGTTGTATAGGCTGAAAATCACTGCCTCCATGAACTTGGTGGTTTTGTTCTGCGGCATCTGAAAGATCAGCTTGGCCAGGTAGATGGGCTGAGTCTGCAAGCAAAAGGGGAGACAGGAATGGCTGACCATGCACCTTGAGGACTAGTGATAGGGTAAGGAAGGGCTTTCCCCTGATGGAAACCCGGAATGGAGAAAGCACTATCACACTTTCTCTAGGTGCTAGTAACATTTCAGACAAACAGGGGAAGAGGTAGTCTCTTTTCCTGGGGATAAGGAATTAAGGTTATGGGAAAGGACACCTTGCATGGTGCTAAAGGCACAGACAAGAAAGCCTTGAAGTCTCAGACCCTCAGGAGATGGGAGAAACTTCTCCTTGGAAAGTCCTCTGCTAACCTGGAGCAGGTAGAAGAGGTGTTGGTATGCTTCTAGTTTCTGCCGTTTCTCTTTGCTCAGCGACTTTAATCCCTTCTGCTTGTCCAGAACCATCATATCTGACAGCTGTTCCTTATTCCTCTTGGTCAGCTTCTTGCAGTGGGAGACCACTTCCTGCAGGGGTGGAGGAGCGGATGATACAACCAGCACAGGCCATCCCAGGGCACAGAACATATGGTCTAGAAGCAGTGCCTTGAAGAGCCAGGGTTTTCTGTTGCTCAGGGAATAGGCATAAGCTGGGGGAGAGAAGCAGTTCTAGGGTGAGGAAGGGCCCCTCCTAGTACCCTGAGACTCCATCTGGTTTCTCTCCTGTCATGGGAGTGAGTCCTCAAAGAGAAATGGGTTGCCAGGCTGAGGACTGTGTCTATTTGGCTTTTGCTATCATTTCTTATTAGACTGTTACACACATTTGAGATGGAGATATCACTACTACCCTGATACTGCATATTTGTATGGTAATTTATTATTCAAAGAGCTTTCATATCTATATTTGGCCTGGAGAGGTGGATATTCTCATTATTCCCAGTTTGCTAATGAGAAAACAGACTTAGTAGTTAAATGACTACCCACAGCCCCATCCCTAGGAATCAGCAGAGCCAGGCATCCCAATTCTAGGCTCTTTCTACTCTGTCATGGGTCCCCCAAAATGATTTATTAGAATGGCAGAGGGCCACTGGAACAAGGACCTGAGTCAGGTGATAAAACCCACACCATTTTGAAAAAAAATGATTAGGAAGCAGAGAATGGCTAGCATCACATCTCCAGAGGCAGGCAGATCTGGGGAGGAGAGGACTGGTGGGCCCCTGACCTGCAGAGTGATCCGGTTCTTCACCAGCAGGCCAATCTTGATGTCCATGATGTTGAGGTCCTGCTCCAGCTGCTGATTGGATCGGATCTTCCTAACTACTTCCTCCTGGAGCTTCAGCAGCTCTGCCTCAGCCAAGAAGTCCTGCTGGCTTTGATTCATGAGATGGGCAAATCTGCGTACCACACTGAGAGGAGGATGGGGTGCATGCACTGGGAGGAAGGGAGGAGGCATCAGGATTAGGATGCCTCATCAGGGGCCTTCTGGCCAGCCCCTGCCCCAGAGTCAGCACATCCCAGTCCCCATTCTGCTTAGGATCAGTAGGTCCCAATCCGAGTCCTCTTCTAACTGGTTCTGCTTACACTTGGAGGGCAGTGGGTAGCCTCCCAGCCAGGCCTGTCCCTGAGCTCCCTGTCTTATAACCAGGGATGACATAATAGCTGCTTTTCCCCTGCCTCTGATTCACCCCAGCCTGGGCCTATCCCAGGGACCTCTGACACCAAAGCCAGAGCCACAGCTCCCTCTGATGATCCTCCCAGACCTCCCAAGTCTACCTCAATTACTACTCACTTCTGCTGGGCCAACCTGCTCCTCTTCCCCCTACCTGCCAGCCACCACTCAGCCCCACTTGCCCTCACAGTGCTCCTCTGCCAGGAGTTTCTGTGCATACCAGGAAGCACAGATGGGATGGACAGTGGGCTTTATAATATAGGGGACGTCAGAGCTAGCTGGTGATTCTCCTTGAATCACCTTTGGAATTGGTATTTGAGCAAAAAAGAAAATTATCTGAGCTAATTTATTGGAAATAACAACAAAATAGCAACTAATACATATAATGTTTACTATGAGACAGAAACTGTTCTAAGTGCTTTACACTTAAGACCACTTGTGAGGTGGTCTGTAATGATCCTCTCTTACCAATGATAACTCTGAGACTCAGAGAAGGTAAGCAAATTGCCCTACGTTACACAGCTAGTAATAAATGAAAGAGTCAGATTTGGAAGATGAATAAAACCAGTCCCTGTCCATAAAGGCAACCTAGTAGGGGAACTAGACAAATAAACCACAATTCACTGCAATGTGGTTAGCACTTTGAGAGAAGTAAGCATGGGGATCTTTGGGAAAACAAAAGCGAGTCATCCAATCCCACCTGGGGAGTGAAGAAACACTGCAAGGATGAGGTAAGATCCCCTGATGCTGGTGGAAAGGAGGTGGAAAGGGTGAATGTAGGGAGTGCTGGAAGTCCACTGTATCTGGAACACAGTGCAGAAGGTGCAGGTAGTGAGGGGCAGGTCAGTGAGGTTAGAGGTACTGGGAAAGGCTAGATCACAGAGAGCCCTAAAGCTGTGCTTAGGAGATTGGGCTTTATCCTCAGGGCAACAGGGAATCATGGTAAGTCTTAAGTAGGTGAGTGACAAGATCACATATACAGGTTTAATGGATTAATCTGGGTATAGTAGGGGAACAATTTTTTTTTTTTTAGACAGAGTCTCACTGTTGCCCAGGCTGAAATTCAGTCCTGCAATCTCAGCTCCCTGCAACCTCTGCCTCCCTAGCTCAAGAGATTCTCCTGCTCCAGCCTCCCAAGTAGCTGGGATTACAGGTGCCAGTCACCACGTATGGCTACTTTTTGTATTTTTAGTAGAGATGGGGTTTTACCATGTTGGTCATGCTGGTCTTAAACTCCTGACCTCAAGTGATCTTCCTGCCTTGACCTCCCAAAGTGCTGGGATTACTGGTGTGAGCCACCACACCTGGGCTGTGGACAAATCTTTGAGGAGTGAAGAAGAGTAGAATCCAAGACAATTCATGGCATCTTGGATTCGATGAAATACAGCATATGAAGTCATTTTATCCTCAAAACAGCCCTACAAGATAGGTATTAGCATTATCTCCAGTTTATAAAGGAGAAAAGTGGGCAATAAGGAAGTTAAGTGGCCGCGCACAGTATCTCATGCCTGTAATCCCGACAGTTTGGGTGGCTAAGGCAAGTGGATCACATGAGCTCAGGAGTTTGAGACCAGCCTGGGCAAAATGGAGAGACCCCATCTCTACAAAAAAATCAAAAGTTAGCCAGGTGTGGTGGTGTACACCTGCAGTCCCAGTACTCAGGAGGCTGAGGTGGAAGGATCACTTGAGCCTAGAAGGTTGAGGCTGCAGTGAGCTGTGATCGTGCCACTGCGCTCCAGCCAGGGTGACAGACACTCTGTCTCAAATAAATAAATAAATAAATAGACAGATAGATAGACAGATAGATAGATAGATAGATAGATAGATAGATAGATAGATAGATGTTAAGTAACTTGCCTAGAGCTACACAGCTAGTAAATGGCAGAGCTCTGAGTAGAGTTTGCGGGCCAGTGAAGTCAGGAGACAGCACTAGGGAAAAACAAGTTCTTCCAGAAAAACCATGAAATGAAGAGAAGAAAAAGATACCAAGAATGGCCAGGACAATGGTATTAGTGTAACCAAAGAGACAAAATAGAAAGCACCAGGCTGGGGAGAGAGGAGAGAAGGGAGCTTCTTACGAGGAAGCAGATGGCCTGAGTGTATATGGCCAGAGAAGGGACAGGCAAAGCCCCTGTGGGCAGGACAGGGCAAAGAAGGACTGAGGAGGTGAAGGAGAGGATTCCTGAGCAGGACATTTCACCAGAAGCCCGAGTGCAGCCTCAAGGCCAGGAAAGAAAGGGGCCTACTGCTTTAGGAACCCAGGGGGCTAGAGGTGAATGTGGAAATGGACTACTTATCAATTTCACAAAAAAGAAGGGGATGCCATTTGCTGGGCTTCTGAACTTGAAGATTAAGGGCCAGGAGGGACCTCTTTAAGGCTAATGGGGAATATGGAGCAGGAAGATGGTCCCCCCTTGAGTGCTTCTCACATTCCCCACACCACAGAATGGACTCTATGTACCTCACCAGGCCTTGTTTGTGCTGGGCCACAGAGGTTGGAGGGGAGAAGGTTGAACCCTAGGGAAAGAAGCAAGATCCTTTTCTTTTTGCTTTGGTGGTAGCAATAGGTAGATAATCTAAGCCTGGTACACAAAGAGCCTGTTAGAGGAACTTTCGCTGTGACAAGGCTATTTGTGATTGCGATGAGCAGAGTGGCTTTTGTTACAACCCATTCCACGTTTCTGCACAGACAACTTCTGACAACCTTCCCCTTACCTGCTGTGCAGTCCCAGAAGGACGTCTAGACCTGCCTGGCTCTATGGGGTCCTCTCCCTCCCATCAGCTGGGAAGGATGGATCAGGCAGCTCACCTAATATCCTGTAGTCATCCCGGGCTTTCCTGGCTCGGAAAAATGCCTGGATCTTCACAATGGAGTTAACCTGCCACACACACGGATGGGAAAAGGCTGGCTGCCTGCCCTTGCTCTAGTCTCATGGGTAAAGGTTGGGTATGTGGGCAGGGGGAGCAAGGCAACACTCACATTCTTCTGGAAGTAGTGCAGACGCCTCAGGTATTGCCTCCGAGCTGCCCACATCCGGGCCCAGGCCTGGATCTGGGAGGAGAAACACACTGCCTCAGCTCCAGCTTGGGGCCCACCCTCAGTCCCAGGCCAATTCAGACAAATTAAGAGGTCAAGAAGAGGTGACAGGACTACAAGATTGTTCTCAGAGGGTCCTTCAAGAGAGAGAGGAACCTGCCACAACCACCATAGCTACCTTGATTATGGCATCCAGGTTTGCTTTAAAATACTGCAGCCGCCGCAGGTAAATCTTCCGCTGTCTATAACCCCGCCAATGAGCCTACACATCAGGAGAGAAAGGCAAGTAACACAAGCAGGTCTCCTTTGGCCAGAGAGGCTTTTAGAAAAATCCTTGTCCTGGGCCCTTCAGGGAATGGAAGGGGGCAGCTAAATAGAAGGGGAAAGGCCCTGTTCCCAAAGAACTTCCAACTTCATAGGGAAGACCAGATGGCTGCACACAGCCAACAATGCCCTCTGCCATACTCCCTGGTCCCAGCACAAACACCCACACACCCACACCCACACACCCCTAACCAACACCTCTTCACAGAAACTCAACTATAAGATATAGGCCGTTAAGATAATAAAGCATACACCTACTCGCCAACTTCACCAAAGTATGTACCATATCAGCCTAAAATACACTCATACACCCATATGCAGACCACCCACACCCTATCACACACTCCGCCCTCCCTCATGTGCACAGAAAGTGGGAAGAGTGCAGTCTGGAAATGCATGCAGTTGTGTGGATGGGAAGTGTGTTTAGGCACAGAGCCGTGTGCTCACCATCTCCACCAGCGGCCACCTGGGCAGGAGGTCACTAATGCTCTCATAACTCACACTCTCTTTACAACACAATCCAGCTCCTGACCCTAGCTCTCAGCAAATCTTCCAAGGTCTTCAGTCATTCAGCTGTCAGGCTGATGGCCTCTCCCCTAGCTGACCTGCTGCAAAGAGTCCAACTGACATCTTCACAAATCATGCCTCATATGGTCTCTAAAACACAAATATCAAGGCCCTCTTCCATTCCGGTCTCCTTCCTAGGAGCCTTTTCCCTTTATTCCGAGTTCTCAACCATCTGACCCCATACTCCCTCTTTGACTTTCCACTGGCCCCACCTTCTTAAGGATTCTAGATGCATCAGACTTTTCATTTTCTTCTAAACATGCCTTATGGTTTTCTGTCCCTGAACCTTTTATACCCACCCTTGCCCCCAGCCCTACCTCTACTCACTGAAATCCTTCCCATCTTTTTTTTTTTGAGACAGGGTCTTCCTCTGTCACCCAGACTGGAGTGCAGTGGTTCCATCATGGCTCACTGCAGCCTCAACCTCCTGGGCTCAAGTGGTCCTTTCTCCTCAGCCTCCTAAGTAGCTGGAATCACAGGCATGTGTCACCATACCTGATTCATTCTTTATGTTCTGTAGAGATGGGGTCTTACTATGTTGTCTAAGCCGGTCTTAACTCCTCAGCTCAAGTGATCCTCCCACCTCGGCCTTCCCAAGTGCTGAGGTTACAGGCGTGAGACACCATCCTTGGCCCTTCCTGTCTTTTAGGGCCTATGTCCAGCATCTCCTAGTACACAGGCCCTGGGAGACACTCTACCACTGACATTGTCTCAGTTTGGTAAGACTTGGAAGCAACCCCTTTCATTCAGTTGCTCCCAGCCCTTCCTAAAGCCGGTTCTGCCAGCTTTCCCTCAAGGCTTACATGGCCCCTCTGTTGGGATAGGATGTAAAAGAGGATAGCTTGGTCCATGATGCCAGTTGTCCATGTTAGAGTCTAGAGGCCAGGAAGCCCCATTTCCATGCCTGCCCTCAGGGCTCTTTCCTCTCCTCCTCCAGTACTACCTGGGAAGTTGCTGTGGGAAAAGGCATAGTGGTCTGCTCTCTGCTCTTACCCACTACCAACTTCCACCAGACTCCTTAAGGCCTCTGAATTGGTTAGAATACAGGACCCTGGATGGGGTTCTGGCCAGGGTCAAAGCTTTTAGCAGATAAAGTCTCAGCACACCCAGGCAGCCTCATTTTGGATTCTCATTTCCCCATCGCTGGAGGACAAGAGGCTCAAGGCTCTGGACTACCTCTCCCTTTCTCTGTCTCCCAGGACCCAGGCCAGAGCCCACACAACTTTGGTACTAGTGACAAATGGTCCCTCTGACTCCATCTTCTCTCCCACTGTTGGTGTGGTTTTTCATTGCCTTAGTGTGAAATTCCAGTCTGGGCTCAGGAGGGAGAAATCCCATGATTCAGACCACTAAATACAGATCACTAAAGTTTGTATTGAGTTCTGGGACCAATGCCCTGAAAACAAAATCTCATAATGGCTCCTACCAACAGAGCACTTACCATGCTAAGTGCTGCATGTGATTTTCGTATTTAATCCTCCCAATCAGCATATGAGGTGAGTGCCATCATTATGAATGAGGAAACTGAGCGCTAGAGAGGGTTTAAGTAAGGTGCCCAGTGTCATATGACCCAGAAGTGGTAGGGAGGCAAACTCCAGCTTCTGACCCCAAAGCCTGAGCTCTCAGTTACCCCCCCACACCCTCGGTCACCATCAAGGGCCATTTGCCAGTCCCGGTCTGCACATCCGTCTCCCTTGGGCTTCTCTGGTGTTGTCTTCAAGTCCCTCCTATCACAATGTCTAGCATCAAGTGTACTCCAATTTCTGTGAGGGGAGAGATGTGCTCACTAACCCGTGGGCCTCACATCCATCTCCCACCCTTGCCCAGTGCCAAGTGGCATGCTCTTGGCATTCAAAGAAGTTTATGAAAACATCTTTACATTGCCAGCACCTCCATGAGGCCCTCCAGATCACATCTGCCTGGGAAGGTCTCTGCTCATCATTCCCGGCTTGCAGTGCCTCTGGCCATCTTCCCTATCGACCTCATGTCTCACTTACTTGTGGGTCAGTCTCAGAGGCCATTCACGGGTTGAAAGAATAAAAATGGGAAGGGCTGGTTGGAGAGAAAAGGTAGAAGACTCTTCTTTTCCTAAAGGATATTCCACTCCTTTTCTGTTTAACCACCGCCACCTCTTTGAGCCCTCCTGGTGTCTAAGCCCTGATGTCTTACTAAATACACACACACACACACACACACACACACACACACACTTGTAGAGACAGGGTCTTGCTCTGTTGCCCAGGCTGGAGTGCACTGGTGCCGTTACAAATCATTTCAGCCTCAAACTCCTGGCCTCATGCAATCCTCTTACCTCAGCCTCCTGAGTGGCTGGAATCACAGGCGTGAGCCACTGCGCCCAGCTAAATCTTATTTCACTCTTCCCTTGGGGAAGCTAAAAAGCAGCTCTGACTCTCTGGATAGCGATGATGATGATATAACTAGCACGGTAACTTCTACCGTGTTCTTACCTACCTCCAAGGCACTGTTTATAAACACTTGAGATATTACCTAACTTAATCCTCATAACAACTCTATAGGAATCATTATCCCTATTTTTCAGAGGAAAAGACTGAGGGACCAGTGAGGAAACTGAGGGAGAGTAAGTAACTTGCCAGGGTCACACAGCTAAGAGGCGGTGGAGCTGGGATTCAAATGTACATGGTCTGGCTCCAGAACCTATGCTCTTAACCACTACTATTCAGAGGCCAAAAGATCATTCCCATGCCCACTCAGTAAAAAGGAAGTAGGGTGGATACCCTGGAGCCCAGATAAGCCCAGGCCCTGAAGACTGAGAAAGCCAGAGCCTGCCACCTGGATCTTGATGACTGCTGGGAGCCAGGTCCTCAGAAAGTGGGAACGCTCAGCAAACTTCTGCCGAACTAGAAAGCCACGGAAGCGGGCCTGGAGCTGGATGATAAAGCTGACGTTGGCCTTCCAGAGCTGTTGGCGGTCATAGGCAGCAGTGACCTTGGTGACAGCTGACTGTGGGGGCAGGAGAGAGATGCTGTGGTCTTTTGGGGAGTGGGAGCCTCTTCTTCAGGGCATTCACGTCTGAGATTCCCTATCCTTGCAGGGGCTCTGCCAACCTGGATCTCCTCCCAGGTCAGGTGAGAGGTGTTGAGGCGGCAGCCAGCGGGTTGTTCCCAGGTCCCCTGGAAGGTCTGCAGATGGAAGTAGTAGGCAGTGCCATCCTTCATGTCATGTTGAACCCAGAAGGCTGTGTCTGCTAAGCAGAAACCAAGCAGGCAGAGAAGATTCAGAGCAGGCAAGGGGCAGGCAGGGAAGACGAGGGTCAGGCTGGGGCCCTTACCTGGATGCTGTTTCTTTGCCATGACACCTTCCAGGGCTCGCTGGTAGCCTTTGGCACAGTCGGGAACTACCCCTCGAAGGGCTACTGCGGGGTTCCTCAACACCCGCTCAGTCTGGGCTGCCTTGCCCTCCTTGATGGCCTGATTGATGGCGGCCACACCAAGAGCCACTGACAGAGAAATCAGGAGAGAGTAATCAATCCTTCCCCCGAGTCCCTCCCCTGGGCCTTGGCCTGTCCGCTAGGGATGGATTCAATAAGAGGACACAAAATCATCCTGTCTGAAAGTAGATGGGAACATCCCGGGATGGACAGAGACACATACATGAAAAGCAGCAGCAGGCAACTGTGCTTGGAGGGAAAGGCAGCAGTCAAGGAAGCGCTCCTGAGGGAGGCAGTGTGGGGCTGGGCTGAGCTGGGGCTTGATAAAAGGAAAATCAGTTTGAACAGAGTGTAAAGGTCGAAGCCCGGAGCAGTGGCTCACGCCTATGATCCCAAGACTTTGGGAGGCTGAGGCAGGCACATCACTTGAGCTCAGGAGTTCGAGACTAGCCTGGCCAACACGGCAAAACCCTGTCTATTAAAAATACAAAAATTGGCTGGGTGCTGTGGCTCATGCCTGTAATCCTAGCACTTTGGGAGGCCAAGGTAGGTGGATCACCTGAGGTCAGGAGTTCAAGACCAGCTTGGCCATTATGGTGAAACTCCATCTTTAAAAAAAAAAAAAATACAAAAATTGGCCGGGTGTGGTGGCTCACGCCTGTAATCCCAGCACTTTGAGAGGCCAAGGTGGGCGGATCACCTGAGGTCAGGAGTTTGAGACTGGCCTTGCCACTATGGTAAAACCCTGTCTGTACTAAAAATATAAAAATTAGTCAGCCACAGTAGTGGTCGCCTATAATCCCAGCTACTCAGGAGGCTGAGGCATGAGAATTGCTTGAACCTGGGAGGTGGAGATCGCAGTGAGCCAAGACTGCACCGCTGCACTCCATCCCGGATGACAGGGCAAGACTGTCTAAAAAAAAAAAAAAAAATTAGCCAGGTGTGGTAGCGCATGCCTGTGGTCCCAGCTACTCAGGAGTCTGAGGTGGGAGGATCACTTCCAAGATTGCAGTGAACCAAGATTGTGGTACACTGCCCTCTAGCCTGGGTGATAGAACAAGACCCTGTCTCAGAAAAGAAGCATAAAGGCAGGACATGGGCAGAGGAGCCTGGGACAGTTTCTTAGGAGTAGAGAGCCTAAGATGTGGGAATGGCTGATGTAGCATCTGCCTTCCAGTCACTAGCAGACAGACAGAAAGACAGAGAGACCTCAGCCACTGAGAACTAACACCACCAGCACCACACATCAGCACACCCCTGTCTATTTGTACTGATTCTCCTATTTTCCTCAAACCCCTGCCAATTCCTCTTCTCTCACTCCAAGTCTAGACATTTCTAGCCAGAGCTGATTGACTGTTGGAACCCAAACTCAAGCTACCGGCAGAAATGGGATTTCTGGCTACCACGTGATCTCACATGCTCACAGCACAGGGAAAGTGCCCACAGGAAGGCATAGAGGAAGGCAGTGGGTGAACTATGGATTCTCACCTCCTGGGAATTTCCTGCCTCGCTGACTGCCAGGAACAGCAGCCCGCCCTGCAGTCCAAACAGCAGCCCTCCTGCTCTGACTGTGGCCTGCCTCCCCACAGAGGTTGAAGGGAGTGGGAGGTGACCAGTGAGGCCACCTGATCATCTGGGTTGCTGCTGAGCCCACATCGCTTTCCCTCCCCTCCCAGGGTCCCCTGCCCAGTCCATTTACTTTTCTGAGCTGTATTTGTGTCCTGGTTGGCTCTGACCACTCCCTGGCGGATCTCCTCAAGCCACAGCACAGCTCCAGGATCCCCTGTCACCTGGCAGATTGAGAGAGATAAAAAAGATGAGACCCTAAGCTGGTCTCTCCAGGTTCCCAGACCAAGATGCCAAGGGAAGCAAACTGCAGGCAGGCATTGGGAGCCACAGGGACGGCAATCTCCACTCAGCTCTCCTGGCCTACATGGGTGTGCGTGGCCTGGGGTTCCCTGGGATTACTGCCCTATGTGGGCATGTATGGCCTGTGGGTCCCTGGGATGCTGCCAGGCTCAGAAGGCTGTTTTCCTACTAGGCTTTCAAGTCTATTTGGCTTGGCCACAGCACCTCCAGAACCACAGGGGCTCTGCATAGCTCCTCAAACTCAGCATCCACCACCTTCTAAACAGCTCAGTTCCCAGCCCTTGTGCCTCAGCCATGTCCAGGGATAGCCCACACTGGAGCCTCCGCTTACCTGCCCTCACTCCCCACTGCCCTCTGCCTCACTGCATACCTTCTCAGGCCGATCCTGACCCTGACCTTTACCTTCTCCTTCCTTTTCTTGCTCCACACTCCTCTACCTGACAAGGTAGTGGGAAGATTATATGAGGCCCCAGGCCAAGTAAGCCCATGCCTGCCACAATGTTAGACTGAAAAAGGCTTGTCCCCTCCCTTGCCTCACAGAACCCCAGGTTCTATTCCTTCCCAAATCTCCCCATTAATAATAGACTTTGTAAACTAACATTTTATTGAGTACTGACTATGTGCCAGGCAGTATTCTAAAGCACTTTCTTATGCATTAATACTTGTAAAGCACATAAAATGATGTTTGGCACAGAGTGAGGACTCAATCAATGTTAGCCATTACTACTGTCATATTATCTCACTTACATCCCATAACTCTGAGATACGCTCATTACCGTCACAAGCTTGTAGGTGAGGAAACAGAGACAAAGAGAGGTTAAGTAACACACGCAGGGTCGGGCTGCCAGGACGTAAGCTCCAGTAGCCTGGCTCAGGAGCCTGAGCTCTCAACCACTCTCTACTGCAATATACTCAGGGCATTTTAGATTCAAAACTCTATCCCATTTGTCAATTTATTTGATTTTCACCCTCATTCTGGGAGCTGGGTAGGACGAGGGTAGGCAGTACTTTACAGATGAGTAAACAGAGATCAGAGATATCAAGGGATTTGCTCAAGGTCACATGGTCATGAAGGGTCAGAGTGGGAAATCCAGCCTGGTTCTCTAGCTCCCAGGCCTGTGCTCTTCCGATGGACTGCCCACTGCCCTGGCAATGGGGGCCATACTCCTTCACCAGATTGGAACACTCCCCTCACCCTCTCCCAGAAGCTATTGTGTCCATCAGACTAGAGCTCTGCCAGACTAGGTACAGTGCTACCCACAGGGAATGTTCTTCCTGCTCTGATGACCAACCAGCCAGCCCTAACTTCACCTGGGCCTTCTGCCTTTTGGCTGCTACGAGGAGGAGATGGTACCGAGGGGCAACAGGGAGGCTGACATCATCTAGGCCAGCTGCAGGAAGCAGTAGGGCGGACAGAGTCTTCTCAGGGCTGCCTTTGTCCAGAGCCTCATTGATGAGGCTGACTGCGAGGACCCCTAAGGAAGAGAGATGTAGGTGGGTGAGGGCCCCTAGACTTATGGCTAAGGGACAGGACTGCCTAAGCTGGGCCATCTCCAGACTATACTCACTATCAATCTCTTCCTGGGCCTGTGCATTGACCTGGCTCACGGTGGCCTGCAGGTCATTCCAGCTCAGGAAGTCCTTGTCTGTCCCACGTTCCTGTCGCAGTTTCAGCAGGGCATCGAAGTAACTGGCAGCGGGGTGAAGGGCAGAGAGGTGAGCAGCATGTGAATCATCAGTCACAAGTCAGGGGAAACATTTGAACGATTTTCCTCACTTGGCCTCCAGGACACCACATTCTTTGAGTTCTCTTCTCGCCTCATAGGCTGTTCTTTCTGAGACACCTCTGCTGCTCCCTGACATCTAAACATTGGAGCATTCCAGTCTTCAGTCTTCAGACCTCTTCTCTCTGCATGCTCACATCGTAGGTGATCTCACCCAATCTCATGACTTTAACACCATCTGCTCCTGAAAGCACACCTCCAGCCCATTCATTTATCCCAGCCAGCTCCTTGTGATTTCCAAGCCAATGTCTAACAAGCACCTCAAACCCAACAGCTCACATCTGAACTGATTCCCCTGCTTAACCTGTGTGTCTCATGGTCTCTCCCATCTTGCCCCAAATCTTGGAGTCATACCTAATTCTATTGTCTCTTAAATCTCATATCTATCACATAACCAAATCTTGTCAGTTTACTTTCAAAATGTATCTGAAATCTGACTCCTTTTCCCTATCTCCGTTGCTACCGCTCTAGGCCAAGCCCCCAACATCTCTTGCCTAGATTACTCCAATAGCTGTCTAACAGGTCTCCCTGCTTTCTCTTTGTACTCCTGCAGTCAGTTCTCAGCACAGCAGCCAGAATCATCCTGGTAGGTAGATCAGATCACTGGACACAGTGGCTCACACCTGTAATCCCAACACTTTGGGAGGCCAAGGTGGGAGGACAGTTTGAGCCCAGGAATTCAAGACCAGCCTGGGCAACATAAAGAGATCCTGTCTCTACAAAAAATTAAAAAATTATCTGGGCATAGTGGCATGTGCCTGTAGTCCTATGCTGGAGTTCAAAAATTATCTGGACATAATGGCATGTGCCTGTAGTCCTACGCTGGAGTTCAAAAATTATCTGGGCATAGTGGCATGTGCCTGTAGTCCTACGCTGGAGTTCAAAAATTATCTGGGCATAGTGGCATGTGCCTGAAGTCCTTCCTACGCTGGAGTTCCTAAGCCTGGAGTTCAATGCTGCAATGAGCTGTGACTGCACCACTACACTGTAGCCTGGGTGACAGAGCAAGACCCTGTCTCTAAAAATAAATAAACGAAGTAGGTCAGATCATCTCCCTCCTGGCTCTTCTGTGGCTTCCTTCCTCACTCAGAGTAAAAACCAGTCCTACAAGGTCTGGCCTCTGCTACTCTGTCTTCATCTCCCACTCCTCTTTCTTCCTCACTTCACTCCACCACAATGGCTTCCTGGTGTTCTTTGAACACACCACGCACATGGCTTTCTCAAAGCCTCTGCCCCACATAGCCTCATGGCCATCACTTATGCCCTTTAAATCTCTTTCAAAATGACCTCCTCAGCAAAGAGGCTTTCCATAACCACATTATGTAAAACCAAAAAACTGTCCCTACTATGTCTCTACCCGTTACCCCCTTTGCCCTGTTTTATTTTTCTCTACACCTCTTCTTCTTTTCTTTTTTATCGAGATGGAGTTTTGCTCTTGTTGCACAGGCTGGAGTGCAACAGTGCGATCTTAGCTCACTGCAACTCCGCCTCCCAGGTTCAAGTGATTCTCCTGCCTCAGCTTCCCGAGTAGTTGGGATTACAGGCATGCGCCACCATGCCCAGCTAATTTTGTATTTTTAGTAGAGACAAGGTTTCTCCATGTTGTTCAGGCTGGTCTTGAACTCCCAAGCTCAGGTGATCTGCCCACCTTGGCCTCCCAAAGTGCTGGGATTATAGGTGTGAGCCACTGCGCCCAGCCACCTCTTCTTTTCTAATCACCTCTCTCCCTCTACTAGCATGTAAGTTTGACAAGAGCAGAAGGTGTTTTGTTCACTGCTGTTTCCCAGCACCTAGAATAATATCTGGCACATGGGTGGATACTCTAACATCTGCTAGGAAAGAATGAATCAATGAAGAAAAGAGGAATGACTGTGAACCCATCCACTCCCAGGAAGAAACACAGGCCAAGGAACTGTGAACAGACCCAGAGGGTGGGCCTGGGCCCAAGAATGGGACATCATGCACCAGGCAAGTCTCCAACAGAAGAGTGCTGAGTCTTGGCTGCATTCCCCCATCCCTCACTCCCAATGTGTGGCTAAGACTTTCTCACCGCTGGGCATTTTCTCCTTCCACCTCAGCCAGGCCTGTGGCGGGGTTCACCAGGCTGCTCCAGAAGCCACTGGCATCCTGAGCCTCTAGGGCCCGGTTAATCAGGACCACAGCTGAGAGCATCTCCACTGCCACGAAGAGCTCCTCCTGGCCAAGCTCCTAAAATGGGTGGGAGGGCCAATTCCCAAGTGGGCAGGTGAAGGGTCTAAAGGCCTATCCACCATCCTGCCCCCAAGGTTCTTGAATATTCCAGAGTCTCTATCTCAAAACCCCAGTGGCCTCATTCATTCACTAATAATCAGTCATATGAAACACTTGATAATGCTTACTATGTGCTCAGTTATAAGTACTTCACATACATTATCATTTAATTTTCATAATCAGCCGACAACAGAACCATAGTACCATTAATATCCCCATTTCACAGACAAGCCCACAACCAATAACGCAACTCCAAAGCCCACACTTAACAAGTGAGCTGTACCAGCTCCCTCTGCTCTCTACTGCACATCAAGAACTGTATTAGCCGGGTGCAGTGGCTCACACCTGTAATCCTGGCACTTTGGAGGCCAAGGTGGGCAGATCGCTTGAGCCCAGGAGTTTGAGACCAGCCTGGCCAACATGGCAAAACCCTGTCTCTACTAAAAATACAAATATTAGCTGAGCATGGTGGTGGTGCATGCCTGTCATCCCAGCTACTCAGGAGGCTGAGGCTGATCACTTAAACCCAGGAGGCGGAGATTGCGATGAGCCGAGATCATGCCACTGCACTCTAGCCTGGGTGACAGAGCCAGACCTTGTCTTAAAAAAAAAAATTGAGGCTGGGTGCGGTGGCTCAAGCCTGTAATCCCAGCACTTTGGGAGGCTGAGGCGGGTGGATCACGAGGTCAAGAGATCGAGACCATCCTGGTCAACATGGTGAAACCCCGTCTCTACTAAAAATACAAAACATTAGCTGGGCATGGTGGCGCATGCCTGTAATCCCAGCTACTCAGGAGGTTGAGGTAGGAGAATTGCCTGAACCCGGGAGGCAGTGGTTGCAGTGAGCCGAGATCGCGCCATTGCACTCCAGCCTAGGTAACAAGAGTGAAACTCCGTCTCAAAAAAAAAAAAAAAAAAAAAAAAAATTGAACCGGACTAGGTCCCAGGTATACAGAGATGAAGACGGAGTGGTCACTTCCACGCTGCATGACACACCCAATAAACCCGAGCCCCATTTCCCTGCCCTGTCCTTCTCCTTTTCAAACATCTGCTTATGCTGTGGCCTCTATCTAGAACACCCTTTCTATCTTCTTCTTCTTTTTTTTTTTTTTTTTTTTTTTGAGCCGGGGTTTTTTCTCCTTTTTCCCCGGTGGGAGTGCAATGGTGCGATCTCGGCTCACCATAACCTCCGCCTCCTGGGTTCAGGCAATTTTCCTGCCTCAGCCTCCTGAGTAGCTGGGATTACAGGCACGCACCACCATGCCCAGCTAATGTTTTGTATTTTTAGTAGAGACGGGGTTTCACCATGTTGACCAGGATAGTCTCGATCTCTTGACCTCGTGATCCACCGGCCTCGGCCTCCCAAAGTGCTGGGATTACAGGCTTGAGCCACCGCGCTTTTTTTGAGATGGAGTTTCACTTTGTTGCCCAGGCTGGAGTGCAATGGTGCAATCTTGGCTCATTGCAACCTCTACCTTCCGGGTTCAAGTGATCTCCTGCCTCAGCCTCTGGAGTAGCTGGGATTACAGGCATGTGCCACCACCACATCCGGTTAATTTTTGTACTTTTAGTAGAGATGGGGTTTCACCATGTTGGCCAGGCTGGTCTTGAACTCCTGGCCTCAAGTGATCTGCCTGCCTCAGCCTCCCAAAGTGCTAGGATTATAGGCGTGAACCCCCATGCCCAGTCCCCTTCCTATCTTCTACTAACAGAATGTTATGAACGTCAACAACAATAATATTAATAGCTAAAGCTTACTTTCAAGGTTCTTCTCTAAGCACATATGTTACCTCATTTAATCCTATAGCCTATGAGGCATATAATTATTATTCCCATTTTATATTAAAGCAATTGAGCAGCAGAGAAAGTAAAGAACTTGCCCAACATCACATAGCTAAGAACTAGCAGAGCTGGATTTGAACTCACGCAGCCTGGCTCTAAAGTCCACAATTTTAGTCACAGTGCTTTACTTCTTAGTACTTATTTTATGCTTCCTTGTACATAGTCATTCATATGTTGAGAATGTGCCTTTCCTGAGGGCTGTGCCTGTGTCCAAGTCATGCTGGCAGTAGACGCTCTATAAACACCTGCTGTGGGTGTAGTTCTCTATTGATTCTCTTCCAGGAAGTCTTCCCAGCTCTGCCTCTCCATTTCCTTGGTCTGAAGGCTTCTTCCACCTGTCATCTGCTCTTCTCTCCCTGTGTCTCTATGTGGACCCTCAGATGTATTCTAACTCCTCCGTCAGATGGAAAGTCCCTAAGTGAGGCCCTGTCACCTCACTGTCAGAGAAGAGGTATGGACCGGGACGAGGTGGGACAGCGAAGTGGTTAAAAGCATGGTCTTCTGCATCTACTCTCAGCACTGGCACTCACAGCTGTGTTGGGCAAGTGACTTAATCTCTGCATCTCAGTTTCCCCATCTCTAAAATAGAACGCGTCCCTCATAGGGTTATTTTAGGGATTAAATGAGTATGTAAAGCAGTGTTTGCTCAATGTATTGGCTATTAAAATATGCTCAGTAAGGCAGGGATGGTAGCTCTTCCCCCCATCCTAATCTCGTGCCAGCATCTCATGTTGCACTCACAAGAGGGTGGCCTGGGCCGCCTGTCCTGATCCCTCCAGCTGCCTGGGGACTGCAGAGCTAGACACACATTTCTGGAGCTTACCCCCTGCTGCTGCCGCTGGAGCACTGCCAGCTCCTGCTGGTACACAGTCGACGCAACAGGGTACACTGGAGGCAGCAGGGCCTCAGGGCACATCAGCTCCTTCACAGTGTCAGCCGCCACTCCCCTCCGGATGGCTTTGTTAATCCGCTGCACAGCCTGGAGCACTGCAAGGGAGGAGAGCAACAGGTTGCACAGGATGGACATTCAGTGGCATCTCCACTCTCCTGACCAACTAGGCTCTGCCAGGGGATCTTGGTGGGGAAATGGCTTTGTAACTGCTCTCGAAGACCTGCTAGTTTTCTGCTAGGTTTAAAATGCATTTCTAAATGTTCAGGAAGAAATGGGGCTGGGTCACTTTAAGAAGAGGCTCTGTAAGAAGCAATTTGTCAGGCCTAGAAATTGAGTAGCTCAGCATGTAACACAGAGTGGCTGCCATGGCAGAGGGTGAATTCCTAAGGTAGTGAGCACGAGATTGACAGGTGGCTACGGAGCGTAACTAAGATGAGGTTAGTCAGGGGGCTCTAGGGACCAAGGCTTGATGACAGCACAGAAGAATAAGGAACCAACTCCATGGTGGAGCCATTTACTGCAAAGGGCAGCAGTAAGCTTAAGAGGGGCTGTGGTGCCTCATTGTAGTCTGAGTTTACAAACTCTGGGGCCTGTAAACTGCCAAGCAGATACGGGCACTGGCATCAAGGAAAGCACAATCTACTGGGAAGAACTAAGAATACCAAAGTACCTACAGTGCGCCCCTGTCATGTCATGTTAGAAGTCCACCTCCCCCCACCCCCACACAATGCTATGGCAGTGCAGGGGAGGAGGGATTCTGGCTGGGTGAGAGCAGGAAGACTTCACAGAAGAGGAAGCCTTGGAGATAGCTCTGGAGAATGTTTTCACCTGCTTATCAACAGGTGAGAATGTGGGAGAAACGTTACCCAGAGGACCAGAGGCCCAGTGGTGGGAAAGGTTGGAGGGCAATCTAGGAAGAACAGATTGTTTGCTCCGCTGAACTGGGTGGAATGTGAACAGAAGAGCTGGGAAAGGGCTTATCTGCCAGGACAAGGAGATAGGACTAAAGTGTGGGCTAAATAATGGAAGAACCCATGAAGGTCTGAAGATGTTCAACAAGGGAGATAAGATCAGATCTGTGCTTCAGAGATTACTCTGGCAGCAGCAATCAGGAATGAACTGAGCGGATTAGGCAAGCAGCCAGTCAGGAGTGGCCTGGGGACTACCGCAAGCTAGTGAGTGTTGGAAAGCTCTGTTAGACAAAGGTAAATGGTTACTGAGCAACCTCTAAACCTGACAGCAAGTCCAGACTTAGGCAAGCAACTGTCAACAGGTCTAGTGTCCACGGGCTACTGCATTTTGCCTCAGCACTCTGTTTCTCTTCAGACTTGCAGTGCAGATTGATTTCTTGGAGAAAGACAATTAATAACTCACATTCTTGTAATAAAGAATCCCATTCGTGGCCGGGCGCAGTGACTCATGCCTATAATCCCAGCACTTTGGGAGGACAAGACAGGCAGATTACTTGAGTCCAGGAGTTCAAGACCAGCCTGGCCAACACAAAGAACCCCACCTCTGCTAAAAATACAAAAATTAACCTGCTGTGGTGGCAGGTGGCTGTCAACCCAGCTACTTGGGAGACTGAGGCATGAGAATACTTTGAACCCAGGAAGTGGAGGTTGCAGTGAGCCAGGATTGCGTCACTGCACTCCAGCCTGGGCAACGGAGTGAAGCTCTGTCTCAAACAAAAACTAAAAACAAAAAAGAATTATATTTGTATATAATGTTTTTAAGGGAAACTGAGTTAGAAGACGAGTTTCTTGCTCATATTCCGGAAAATTACTACATTTCAGAAGCCAAAGGAATTCAAGCAGGTTAAAACTGTCAAAATTACAGGAAAATTGCCTGGAAGAAAACTGCCTGTCCCAGGAGACCAGCCCAGTGCAGTATTGGCATGTCATTATCTCTAAGGCCTTAATGAACTTATCTATAGTGTCCCCGCAGGCAGCAGGAATAGAGCAGATTAAGTGAGGGGAGAAGTCCCTAGCCAGGCGGGGAAACAGCAGCAGTGTGTATTGCCCAATACGGAAGCCAGCAAAGAGGTGGGATGCTCTTCTAAGAGTCAGAGATAAGCCCAGAGCAGGCCTCCGACCTGGGGATGACTTACTGGCTTGTTCCTGATCACCCTTTGTGTTGGCTGCAGCCACACCAGCCTGGACTTCCTCCTTTTCCAGAAGCTCCATCAGGCCCAGCTCCTAAGAGAGGGAAGAGATACAGCAGAATGGAGTCCTCCTGGGGCCATCACCATGATTTAGGAGCTGCCAGCATGAGCTCCCAGGTCTACCCAGCCACCTACCCTCAATAATACTACCTCTCCTCTTTAGTCAGGCTCATCCATCCCTATTAACCCTTTTTTTTGAGAGGGAGTCTTGCTCTGTCGCCTAGGCTAGAGTGCAGTGACACAATCTTGGCTCACTGTAACCTCTGCCTCCTGGGTTCAAGTGATTCTCCTGCCTCAGCCTCCCCAGTAGCTGGATTACGGGTACCTGCCACCACACCTGGCTAATTTTTGTATTTTTAGTAGAGATGGGGTTTCACCATATTGGCCAAGCTGGTTTCGAACTCCTGACCTCAAGTGATCCACCCATCTCAGCCTCCCAAAGTGCTGGGATTACAGGCATGAGCCACGGCAACCAGCCTTATTAACTCATCTTTAACCTTTCTTGCTCAGCAAGCATCTAAAATAACAACATAGACAATACGAATAGTGTCGGGGGAAAGTCAACTGGGTTGAAAACAAGATTGCTAAGTGGAGGCAGCAGTTCAGCAATGGGGGAGCACATTACTGCCTATGGGATTGTCCTGGTCAGTCTGGGGGACTCTCAGGGACAGAAGCCAATCAGTCTGGTCTACTAGAAACACGTAGGTAGCACTTACAGGATAAAAAGGACCAATAGTGGTGAGGCCTGAGTAAGAGGCCCTCTCCCATCCTATAGTCACATAGAGGGTGTGGCAGATAATAGACAGGCTAACCTGTGCCTTCTGCTCTCTGTCTGAGCTCAACTGCTCCATGTACCAGTCAGCAAAGTCTCTCCTCACCCCTTGCAGGGCCAGGGCAGGGTCTTGAAGGGCCTTGAGCAAGGCTTCAGGACTCTGTCTTTCCAGGGCATCATCAACAACTTCTAGAGCCCCATGGACTGAAAAAAACCAAGATTCCATAATGGACAGTGTGAGAAAGCCACCTCCCATAATCCCCCAGTCCAGCCTTAGGAATGTGCCCTCTTCCTGCCTGCCCAGAGTCAACCCCATCCTTTCCACCTTGGCTCCTGGGCCCATTCGGTTCAGTCCAAATTCTTCAGCTTGGTCTTCACAGCCTTCTCACTTCACCACCTCAGACCCCGAGGATATCCTTACCCAAACAGGCAAATGCCCACCCATCCTGAGCCTTCATACAGCTCCTACCCAGATTCCCCCCATCCTCATGTATTTTCCACACTGCCCCTCTCGAAGGGCCCCAGTCTGCATCAAGAGCTGCTCCTCTCCATGGTTCTCCATTCAGACAGAAGCTTCCTGGACATGGACCACTTCTCAGAAAGCAGCGCACATACTCCTTGGAATCTGATCTTTCCCCGAGGCAAGGCTTGGCCCAAGTGAGACCGTAGGGCTTTCTGGTTTGAGAGAAGCTATCCCCAAACATCCCAGTGCAGGGGCTTACCCTGAGGGCACCCCTAAACCACTCCTGGCCGATCTCTCTTACCGTTGACATGGTTGATATTGCCCTGGATTTCAGCCTGAGTTAGGTAGTGGTCATAGATGTCCTGGCTTTCTCTGCCATCCTGCAAAAACTACATTGAGAGGAAACTTGGGGAACCCAATTCAATCTTCTTGTCCTGCTCTTCCCTCCCTGGCTACACCATTTTCTTCTTCTGGGGACCTTCCCAAGGCCAAATTCAGGAAACTGTGGGGTCTAAACACCTGGCACTGACACAATTAAGCCAAACCAACCTTTGGAACCTCCAGTCCAATCTCATTCTGTTCTACATTCCAGAGCCCCTCTCAGGCTTCCCTGAAGATCATCCCCCAAGAACCTCTTCTCCAGTCTTCTCTTCTGAATTCTCATCATTCTCCCAAGTTTCTTTCCTATTTATCTAAAATCACTGACAAGTTACGGTTTCTCTAAGAAGCAATTCTGGATCCTAGAGACATGACAGATAGGAGTGCTGGTTTCACTTGAGACTTTCCAGCCACTCAACTTTTTGGCCCCGGCACCCCAAGACTACTCCTTACATGGTTCCTGGCATTGGCTGCCTTCTCCATCTTGGCCTGGGCCAGTATCTCCTGGTAGATGGCGGCCAGAGGCTCTCGGAGATTCCCCAGAAGAGCACTGGGATTCTGCAAGGCAGCCAGGGTGTCCTCCACTACCCCTCGCTCCACTGCTTCATTGATGGCAAGAACAGCTGCATGGACTGGGAGTGAGGCATGGAAACAAGGTCAGGAGACCAGAGTGAACCCCAGATCAGAGCACAACCAGTAGCAGGCCACTCTGACATCACTCTTTTTCCCACCCTCAGGGGCCAGGCAAACCAGGTAGCCTGATGGCCCTACCTGTAGTGAGGGGTGGCCAGAATCCATTCAATGGCTGTGAGGCTTGAAGCCCTCCCACACCCACTGAGCCTACTCTTGGCAGGGCAGAGTCCAGTCCTTACCTGCAGCCTCATCCACCGAGAGCTCGTTGGCCAGGATGCCCCCGATCTTGCTGAAGGCAGGCAGCTGGAGGCCATATTTGGCCAGTTCAGATGCCATGTTGCTGAGCTCCTCAGCTGCAATGATGCCACAGGTGCCCTTCATCAGGCCCAGAACCCCCAAGACTCTGCCCAGGCTATGCAATCAGGAAAGGAGCTGGGCTTACCTGTAAATTTCACTTTCCCATATAGATCATGTATCTGAGGGGCCAATCCCAGTCGGAAGAGGAAGAGACTAGGAGGAAATGGAAGGCATTGGAAGGCACTGGGGCCAATTCATTTTGACACTCTGCCCATGATGGGTTTGAAGGAGATACTAGGGGACCTGGAGATGAAGACCACTCAGCATGTGCTCTCAAGTCACTCCCAACCCACAGAAATATGACCTTAAATCAGCCCAAGGAAAATGCTGCAGAAGGTAAATAAGATGGTGTTGGGGGTCTGAGGGGACTGGAAAGGCTTCACAGAGAAGGCCAAATTGCAGTAGCAGGTCACTCCGTGGAGACAGAGGACAGGAGGGGCACAGCAAGCAGATACCTGCTGAGCTAAGGCACAGGAGCACAAAAGGACATGGGAAGTGAAGTCAGAAAGAGATGACATGGTGAACACAAGGAACTGACAAGTCACTTACTGTGATTTAGCCAAATGGTTGCTGATGGCAGGCTCTAAGTAGGACCAAAGAGCCTATGCCATTTACACTAAGAGGCTGGCATGTGTTGCTCTCGATAGGTCCTGTTCTGATTCCTTTATGCCCAGTCACAAACTGAAGGCCCCACCTTGATACCTTCCTGCCTCTGCTATCCTGCCTGCCCTACCCCTTCACCCACATAGGCCATACATAACTGTGCCCACAGACATGCACAAAAATCTAAACACAGTTCTGTAAATTGGAAAGCTCACTCTCCTGAGCAGTGCTCCCTGTGGTCTACCCTTCATCCTTCTTGCTGTGTTTGTTCTGTTGATTGTTGGTCACATCCACCTAGAGGAACCTGGGTGATAAAATTTGAGGTTTCTCACCTGAGAGCATGGATGCAGTAGACTACCCGGGGCATATTCTTTTTGTCATAGATGTCCGTGGTCTCTGGGAAGAAAGTCTAGAGGGGAAATCAGCCAGTTACTGCCATTGGGAACCTTTAAGCAGCACTAGATACGGAGAGGGGGTGCCAAGTAATGGGTCTTCCTCTCCAACCTGAGATATGTGCTCCCTTGTTACCTGGGGTGTCTAGGTCAGTTTCCCCCAACCATTTCAAGTCAGCCTAGTATAAAAGAAAGGCACTGGGATGCATACTAAGCCGAGGCTCAGCCACAGACACACAGTCCTAGGGTGCCCTGGATTGACCAAACACCAGAGAGGGCTATCGAGGTTACGGGTATAAGCCATCTCCTCCAAAAACAATAACTACAAAGTCAGACCCCCAGCTGTCTTCCAGATGTCTACAGTGAGACTGCATGCCTCACTTTAGACTCTTGCCAGAAAGGTGGTTTGCTGGAGAGCTGGCCTACTCCCAAGGAGGGCCCAATGAAGCATATATTGTCAAGGACCACAAAAGTGTCAGGCTGTTATCCCTGTCTCCAAGCCAGCGGCTTCTGACCAATGAGAGCCCTTCGAAGAACGGAGTAGTACCACGTATGGCTTCTCAATGCACCTGACAACTGTAATGAGGCCTAACCTCAATATATCTTGGTTACATTTAGGTTCACAATAATGAACCAAATCTAGAGACCTAGAGTGTTCCAGTCCCACTGAAGACACATGACTTCTATTGCTTCTGCCTCCCATGAAAGTGTCTTTTTTCTTTGTACCGTTCCTTCAAATAAAGAAATTTGGTACCCAAAAAAAAAAAAAAAAAAAAAAGAAAGTGTCTTTTTTTTACTGCTGTTTCCTGTCTTATAGTTCCTTTCTACAGCAAAGAAAAACAAAGCAGAAAGAAACCATACATTGCAGAATCCTATCATGCCTTCATTTGTATAGCTCTTCACAATTCACAAAGGGAGTTCACACAGACCACATGATCCTTCTGGCAACATTGTAAGGTAGACAGGGCAAGGCTCACTATCCCTGTTTTACAGATGAGTAGCAAACTGAGGTTCAAAGAGTGAAACCATGTGTCCAGCTTTGGTTTTGGACCTAGGCTGCTAACTTGAAGTCGTCTACTACCTAGAGATGTGTATACCCTTGCTTCACACTGTGAACTTTGGTGGAGACAGGGCTGGCCAATATAAGCACGACATAGGAGGCCCCCGCTGCGTAATGGGAACCATGCCACACAGGCCATGGAAACTTCATCTCCTTTCGTCCACAGGGAAGAGGAGGCAGAGAAAAAATAACCTGGTTCAAAGACACATAGCCCTAAGGAACTGTTCTCTTAGATGAGTTAGTTTAAAAGACACATGGAAATAGAGCTAAAGGGCCCAGGGAGATAAAGCATGGGATTGTGGGGGGTGGCTGGTAAGGAGTAAAGATGAATACCAATCGTCAGGCCCAATATTACCGAAGGCAGACCGATGTGGGCTATTGCAGACAGCCAAAAGTTGATGTTGTCTGTGTGACGGAAATGTAAGCCAGTTGCCTGAAAGGGAAAGAAAAAGAAAATCTATTTCCACAGTTCTCGGCACTCCATACAGGTAAAGCCCAGACCACAGCTTAAAGATTCAGGAGAGAAGGGCAGAGGGGAACCAGAGGACCCCATGCTATGGATTTTCCATCCCTACCAGGACAGAGAAATAACCTCCACTTTTATCCAGATTTAGACAATAAGTTATGTGGTCACCCTACCCTCACAGCTTTGAGGAAATGGAATAGTTTGAGAGAAAGAAGGTAGAAGGTGGGGTCCAATCCTCCCACCTGGTACCGCAGCTGCTCCACATCATAGATTTTCTTCAAGGGAACCACGGAGGGTGCAAAACAGTGGCCCAGCTTGGCCAGCAGCACTCCATTCCGAAGGCTCTCCTCCAGCTCCACTGAGGAAGGAAGCTCCTCCTTCAGGCAGGCCTCCATCCAGCTACAAACATGAGAGCACCTTCTCACAAACTCTGGTAGACCACAGTGATTTATTCTAACTATAGAACTTCCCTCTCTCCCTCCTTTCAAGTGGTCCCTGACCCTCCTCTGCCTCCTGTTCCAGCCCTACCCCCAACTCCCCTCTCTGCCCATTGCCTGGCTGTTCCCACCTTCTCCCAGGCTGCTCCAAATATCTGGATTGTCCAACCCTCAGTCCCACCCACCTCAGGAAATCTTCCTTGACAGATCCTGAACCTGCCTATCTTCAGTGAGGCTTAACTGTTACATAGGTTCTCACTCAGTCTAGTTACATCTTTAACTGTTAAACCAAATTGAATCTGCTCACTTCTTTCATTCTGCGTTGTTGTCTGAGAACATGGGTGCAGAAAGGTCATGTCTGCCTGAATGGTCTACATGGATCATAACCCAGCTTTAATGATGATGAGAGTAGTGGGGCTGATGGAAGGGGAGCAGCACAAACGGACAGAAAGATCACAGCTCTTGGAGTTTGAAGGCCTGCTTTCCACATTATCTCCCCTACTTTACCTCTGTGAGCCTCAGTTGCACAATTTGCAAAATGAGGATAATGCCACCTGTACTTCCTTCAGTGGGCAGCTGCCAGGATCAAATGAGCTAATGAATGTGAAAACACTTTGAATATAAATGTAAAGTATTATTATTGCTGATGGTTGTATGAGAAAGACATTAAAGTCTCCTCAGAGAGATGGGGTCTAATTGGAAAGTATCCATTTCCAAACAGAGAGCCAGTCACACATTGTTTCATACCTTCCCTGCCTTAGACACCTGATTTTTCCTGATTGCCCCATCCTACCGACTTCCCTGAAGAACATTAAAAGTATCCTGTTGATTAAAAGCAAATAATTAAGTATGCATCCTGCTTTTCCTGCACGGATTGAATTTTAGGGTAACCAAATAGTCCTAAGATGATGAGAAAAAATTATTTAGAATTTCAGCTAGTAAATACGGAAGAAATGACAGAACAAGAAAATAGTCATTTTGCACCCTTGGTAAAATAATAAATTCTGATGTGGACCAACAATGAATGAAGAAGGCATTAGATGAAAAGTTAATGGGAAATTTTATGACGTGTAAATCAGGTTGGCTTCACCTAAACTCCCAGATTGAATTTAGCATCACTGAAAATGGAACAAGCAGACACTGTCTGCTATAAGATGTGATATAGAACACGTATCTTACATATGTTATATATCACATATTTTAGATACACGCATTGCAGTATATAGGAGTAAAAGGATGTGAGTGGGGGAAAAAACCCAACACCAACACTAATGAAAACTTGTCAAAAATGTTTTTTTGTTTTTGTTTTTATGAGACGATGTCTCACTTTTTCGACCAGACTGGAGTGTAGTGGCATGATCTCAGCTCACTGCAACCTCTGCCTCCTGGGTTCAAGTGATTCTCCTGCTTTAGCCTCCAAAGTAGCTGGGATTACAGGCATGCACCACGGTGCCCAGCTAATTTTTGTATTTTTTGTAGAGACGGGGTTTCACCATGTTGGCCAGGCTGGGCTCAAACTCCTGACCTCAGGTGATCCGTCTACCTCAGCCTCCCAAAGTGCTGGGATTAAAGGCATGAGCCACTGCACCCATCCAGGTTTTTTTTGGCTTTAAAAAAATTTTTTTTTAATTTAATTTTATTTATTTATATATTTTGAGACTGAGTCTCGCTCTATCGCCAGGCACCAGGCTGGAGTGCAGTGGCACAATCTTGGCTCATTGAAGCCTCCTTGACCTCCCAGGTTCAAGTAATCCTCCTTCCTCAGCCCCCCAAGTAGCTGGGACTATGGGTGCATGCCACCATGCCTGGCTAATTTTTGTATTTTTTGTAGAGATGGGGTTTCGCAGCCGGGCGCGGTGGCTCAAGCCTGTAATCCCAGCACTTTGGGAGGCCGAGGCGGGTGGATCACGAGGTCAAGAGATCGAGACCATCCTGGTCAACATGGTGAAACCCCGTCTCTACTAAAAATACAAAAAATAAGCTGGGCATGGTGGCGCGTGCCTGTAATCCCAGCTACTCAGGAGGCTGAGGCAGGAGAATTGCCTGAACCCAGGAGACGGAGGTTGCGGTGAGCCGAGATCGCGCCATTGCACTCCAGCCTGGGTAACAAGAGCGAAACTCCGTCTCAAAAAAAAAAAAAAAAAGAGAGATGGGGTTTCGCCACGTTGCTTGTCAAAAATGTTGAACCTAAATCTAATTAAGCCAACATTCATTTATAGGAAATACAGAGTGTAGAGGAACAAGCTGAATGACATAAAAAAGCAATTAGATAACAATCTCTAAAAAAAAAAAGAGAAAAAAGAGACAAAATGTAGGATATTCTTTAGGAAAAATGACAGTTGTCTTCAGCAAATCAATAATATAATGAACTGAAAAAGGGAGATGGGCTGCTCTAGATTAAATAAGACTTAAGACACATACAAGCAGATGTAATTAGTGAACTTTTTGGATCATTATTTGAATAAGATAACTGTAAAAACAGTTTTTTGTTTTTTTTTTTAAGACAAGCAAAAAAATTTTAAAGTGGCCTGGGTATTGATCTTCCAAGGATTAACTAAAGCTATTATAATGGCATTGTGGTTATATAAGCAAACATCCACATATTTTGGAGATATATATTACATTTATAGGGGATAAAAGGATGTGACTGAGATTTGCTTTAAAAAAAAAAAAAATTAAAGGCTGGGGCACAGTGGCTCACACCTGTAATCCCAGCACTTTGGGAGGCCCAGGCGGGAGGATCAGCTGAGGTCAGGAGTCCAAGATAACCTGGCCAACGTGGTGAAATCCTGCCTCTACTAAAAATTAAAAATTAGCCAGGCATGGTGGCATGTGCCTGTAGTCCCAGCTACTCGGGAGGCTGAGGCAGAAGAATCGCTTGGACCTGGGAGGCGGCGGTTGCAGTGAGCCAAGATCACACCACTGTACTCCAGCCTGGGCAACAGAGTGAGGCTAAATCTCAAAAAAAAAAAAAAAAAAAAAAAAAAAATTAAATTAAATTAAAAAGCTATTTCAACTTGCCCTTTCCCACAGCATGGACTCTTGATCTGTTGCATTTACTTTGGGGGCAGATGCCTAGGGTGAGGGGTGGTGGAAAGGGAGATCAGAAAGAGTCCATCTTCATGGACTCTGCTCACCGCTTGGCTTCCTCCAGCCGGCACAGGTATTGATAGGCAACATTCTGCCGCCTCTGCTCATCCATCTCCTCAGCTGTGAGGCGTTCATCTGAGGAGTCAAATGGGATAAGATCAATGAAGAGAGCATTAGAGGGGCCTTAGCACTGAAGCTTTTTCTTAACAGACTTGCTTAGGCAACCCTGCTCAGAGACCTGAAGCATCTCCCATGTGTCCCTCCTTTTCTTCCCAGGATATCCTTAACAGGCGACCTCCTCCTGTAGTGGAAGCATTTCTCTTTCCTCTGCAGCTATCTTCCTGTCCTCTCCCTCTTCAAGACTACTCATGGCCCTTCCCTCAGTATGTCCCAGCTGGGACATCCAGAGTCTTCCTTGGCTTGAAGCTTAACTCCTTTTCTTATCCCTAATTAGACTGACTTCTCCAAGAAGTGGACTTGTGTCATCCTTGTTGGTTACTCTCTCAGAGGTGAGGTACTAGAGCCAACCAGGATTGACCGATTCATTCATCAATACCTCCTTTATGTCAGGCACTGGACTAGCAGAACCACCCTCTCCAGCTCTTTTTTTTTTTCCCAGGAACACATGCACTTTATTGAACGTCATTGTAGAAAAGTGTGTGAGGATAAAGGGCTGATACAGGACTCGGCTCGGGACAGGGCAAGGAATGGAAGGTGGAGTAGGTGGGAAACAGGAGTAGACCCCTACTCTTAAGAAATGTAGAAATAAAGGCCTGCATGGTGGCTCATGCCTGCAATCCCAGCACTTCTGGAGGCTGAGGCAGGTAGATCACTTGAGCCCAGGAGTTTGAGAACATGCTGGGCAACATGGTGAGACCCTGTCTTGACAAAATACAAAAATTAGCCTGATGTGATGATGCACGTCTGTAATCCCAGCTACTTGGGATGGGGCTGAGGTGGGAAGATCACCTGAGCCCAAGAGGTCCAGGCTGCAGTGAGCCATGATCATGCCACTGCACTCCAGCCTGGACAACAGAGTTATTACTGGGTTTTTGTTTTGTTTTGTTTTGGAAACAGGGTGTCACTCTGCTGCCCGGGCTGGAGTGCAGTAGTGCGATCACAGCTCACTGCAGGCTTGACCTCCTGGGCTCAGGTGATCCTCCCACCTCAGGCCTCCATCCCCAAATGGCTAGGACCACAGGTGCGCACCACCGCGTCTGGCTAATTCTTGTATTTTTGGTTGAGACTGGGTCTCGCCATGTGGCATAGGCTGGTCTCAAACTCCTGGGCTCAAGTGATCCTCCTGCCTTGGCCTCCTAAAGTGCTGGGATTATAGGCGTGAGCCACAGTACCCAGCCAAAGATTATTATTAGAAGAGAAAAACATGTAAATAAATAAATCTAATGTGATAAGTATGATTATGGCCCATGAATAAAAGCTATGGAAGCGGCAGAGGAAGCAAAGGATTCTAGCTATGAGCTAGATCTTAAGGAATAAATAGGCAGAAATATGGGGGAAAGGCAGTCCAACAGAGGGAAAAATGCCACTCACTTCCGAATAAGTGGAAGGATAAAAAACATTTTAAAAGATCACAAAGGCCGGGCGCGGTGGCTCAAGCCTGTAATCCCAGCACTTTGGGAGGCCGAGGCGGGTGGATCACGAGGTCAAGAGATCGAGACCATCCTGGTCAACATGGTGAAACCCCGTCTCTACTAAAAATACAAAAAATTAGCTGGGCATGGTGGCACGTGCCTGTAATCCCAGCTACTCAGGAGGCTGAGGCAGGAGAATTGCCTGAACCCAGGAGGCGGAGGTTGCGGTGAGCCGAGATCGCGCCATTGCACTCCAGCCTGGGTAACAAGAGCGAAACTCCGTCCCAAAAAAATAAAAAAAAAAAAAGATCACAAAGGTACCTTCACTATCCTTTTGGGTATAGGTCACCTGAGGAGGAAAATAATCTTCAAGCTAAATATAAATGCAGAATACTGATTCTCAAACTCAAGAATAGAGAATCCCTCAAGTGAGACAGCACTCCTAATTTGCCTTAGTCATAGCCTCCCTTAATTCTCCCTTCTCTCCTCTCTCTATTCTCCTTGAGAAACACAATACAAAGTCAAACAGAAAGAGTAAGAGAAAGCTACACACAGTTAGAAAATGAACTCAGAGGGCTTAAAAAAAAAGGTAGAGCTTAGCCAATCTGATTTTGACTCAGCACTTAATGTCATTCCCAGTCTTTATTCTATTTACTTATATTGCATATTCTGCAATATGATTCAGGGAAGGGCAGGGCTTATTTGAATGAGCAGTTGAGTAAATTAAAACACACGCACACGCGCACACACACACCCCTTCAAATACAGATTTGAAAACACTGGCCAACCACAGGAAAGCCATCGGTTCCTCCAAGGGAGTGTACAAGGAACAAGTGTTGGTTGTTAAGCATGGAAAATAAACCAGTAAGTGAATGACATCACCTCAGAGTTATGAGCTGAGGACTGTGGGCGATGGGAGGGATTTTGTACAAATACATGCTGTCTCAAAAAAAATAAAAACCAAAAAATAGTTTTCCTGTCCTTCTTAGGTCTGGAACTAGTTTTCCTTTAACAGAAGAGTGGACACGGACTTTGCTTTTTGAATCCTAATGGAGAGGAAGGGAGGGGTGGAAGAAGGAGCAGGCTGTGACTTTCATTCAGAAAATCAGATAGAACCTTTCTGCCCCTCCCTTCCTTCCAACTCCAGTCTCTCCTTCCTAAAACAGTGTTTTTGAAAGTGTGGCCCAGGGACTACTTTCCTCACATTCACCTGGGGTGAGGGAAGCAGCACAGCGGTGTTTGTTATAAATGCAGATTATGGGCCCCAATCCGGACCTTCTGGAACTGCAGCTCTGGGATAGGTCCCAGGAATCTGCATTTCAAACGAGCTTCCCGGGTAATTTCAGCCCCTAAGTTTGACAGGCATCGTCTGAAAGCGGCATCACAAAGCCGAAGAGTCCCCCAGATCCCTTTAGGCGTCTTGTGCCGTGGCAGCGCTGGGCAAGTACGGTAGCCAGCAGTAACCGCTGAATTTTAAGGATCATTAGGATCACCTACACTCGCCCGACCTCGGAGCTCCAGAACTTAGAAACAGGGAGAACGTTCTTTGCTAGCTTTAAAGCGCAGCACATTCGTCAAGGGGCAATGCGCCGCTCATAGTTCCACTCGGGCCCGCGGCGCCCGGGCTGAGGGTTCCCGTCCCACTGAGCAGTCCCACCGCCCTCGCCCCTCAGACTCCACGCCCGACCCACGCCCCAGTCTCTCAAGGGACGGCCAAGCCCCTCGACCAGCCGCACCACTGCGGGACCCTTCTCCGACCCTTCCGGCACTCACAGGCTGTCCGGCCCGGGACCTCTGCTTTCCTCTCCATGTTCCTCCTTCTTCCAGGTTTGAATCTCCCGCCGTTGAGCCACCGCCCCTCACCGTCGCCACGGCTGGACAGGATACTGCCAGTCCGCACCGCGGAGAACCCTGGGATTTGTAGTTCCAGGCCGCGGAGGCGGGCCACCCAGGTGCTGGAAGAAGAGGAGCCGGCCCGGCTTGGGCCGGCTCCCCTTACGGCAGTTCTTCAGCTTGTTCCTCCCAGACTCTTTCTCTGCTAAACAGTCTTATTCTAGCTGGTGCCCCTGCCTTTGCCTCTGTCATTTCCACCAGTATTCCCATTAACCCCTACTCTGCTTCCTGTATTCCCGGGCCCAGCTAACTTGTGGGCCTACTTGGCGCTATGCACTAAGATAGGTGATGCGAATGCAGAGATGTATAAGCGCAGGTAATGCTCTAAAAAAGTTTGCTATTCTGGCACGAGTGATAGACGTATAGTGAAATAAATTAGAGGCCGGTGATGCACAGAGGGAGGGGGTCATTGCTGTGATGAAGAGCAGCGAAAGGCAGAGAAGACTTCCTAGTGGAAGTGACAGCTGATTTGGGTTGAGAAGTGAAAGAGAATTCATCAGGTTGCAGAAGAGAGGCGGTGCAGTCAGTGGAACCAGAGTGTGCAAGAACAAGGAGGTGAGTTTGGGAAGCTAAACTAGGTTCAGCTTTAGAGGATAACAAAGCTCAAGGAGAGGCAGGAAGGGAGCCTGGAGGCACAGGGGCAGGTCCAGTAGCTCCTTGGGCACCATGCTAGGGCCCTGGCATGGGGTCTGGTGAGCAGTCACCAGCCAAGGAACACTTTCAACATAAGTCAGAGCCAGATTTGTCTTTTATTTATTTTATTTTTTTTTTAAATGGGGTTTCACCATATTGGTCAGGCTGGTCTTGAACTCCTGACCTCAGGTGATCCACCCGCCTTGGCCTCCAAAGTGCTTGGATTACAGGCGTGAGCCACCACGCCCGGCCTCCAGATTTGTCTTTTAAAAAGAGCCATCTTACAGTGGGGAATTGGAAGGAGGTGAGGCTAGGGACAGAGACCAGTTGGAAGGCAACTGCAGTAGCACAGAAGCGAGATAATAAGAGCCTGAACTAGGCCGGGTGTGGTGGCTCACACCTGTAACCTCAGCACTTTGGGAGGCCGAGGCAGGTGGATCACCTGAGGTCAGGAGTTTGAGACCAGCCAGGCCAACATGGTAAAACCCCATCACTCGTAAAAATACAAATATTAACCGGGCATGGTGGTGCACGCCTGTAATCCCAGCTACTCGGGAGGCTGATGCAGGAGAATCACTTGAACCTGGGAGGTAGAGGTTGCAGTGAGCCGAGACTGCACCATTGCACTCCAGCCTGGGTGACAGAGTGAGACTCCATCTCAAAAAAAAAGAGCCTGAACTAATAAAAAATAATTATGACACCAACAACTATGCTGAAAAAAGTATGATCTGATAGGTTTCCCCATCTTGTATTTCTCCCTTTCCCCTTTCCCCACACTCCATCCAAGCAACCAAATAGTGGGCTAGGCTTATAGCTCGGGCAGGTAGGAGAGGAGAATGTGAAGGAAGAGAAAACAGAAATCCATACCTACAGCCTTCAGAGAAACAGAGGAGACTCAGGGGCTGAGACAAAACTGGGAAAAATACGGTTTGAGAAGAGTGGATGGCCCCCTGAAGACCCGGGGGATTCCCCTTACCTCTCACCAGCTGTGGGAAATAGAGTCTAGATGTTGGTGGCTTCTGGCAAATGGGGTCCCATTCTCTGCTTCCTGGAAGGGACCCTAGGTGTACAGGACCCTGAGAAAGAACAGTTGCATAATGAGCCAGGCAGATAATAGACAGCTTAGCAGAAATTCCCGACCTAGACAGAAAGGAAGTATCTGAATGAATTACTCCCCTCTTCTTCTTGGTCCCTGGGCTTGAAAGGGCCAGGTAGATGGAAAGAAAGAAGGTGTCAGTGGACACCTTTGTGAACAGATGACTGAGGACCAGATGAGCCTCACCTGGGCATAACATATGTCTCCTACTTAGACTCCACCCTGGGGAAAAGGAGGGGGCAAACCCCCAAGCAGATTCACCTTGTTTCCATCATCCCAGTGGAATCAGGGCTTGAAACAGAAGTTGAGTAGAGATGAATTTCCTCCACACCAGAGTTATGGAGGAACACAAATATAGTGTTTACTATATGATGGGTACTATATTTAGCATCATCTTACAAGAACTGTCTTATTTAATCTTTGCAATACAGATTAGAAACTGAGGCTTAGAAAGGTCACACAGCTAATAACCAGTAGAGACTAGAGGTAAATGCAGATAGTCCTACTCCAAACTTGAGTTCTTTTTTTTATTTTTGAGACAAATTCTCACTCTGTCACCCGGGCTGGAGTGCATTGGCATGATCTCGGCTCACTGCAACCTCCACCTCCTGGGTTCAAGCAATTCTCCTACCTCAGCCTCCCAAACAGCTGGGATTATAGGTCCCCACCACCACACCGGGCTAATTTTTTTGTGTTTTTAGTAGAGATGGGGTTTCACCACGTTGGTCAGGCTGGTCTCGAACTCTGGACCTTGGGTGATCCACCTGCCTCAGCCTCCCAAAGTGCTGGATTATAGGCATGAGCCACCAGGCTTGGCCCAAGCCTGAGTTCTTAACCAGTATATATTATACCACCTCCAAGGCATGAGACTGCAGTGCAAAGGGTATACTAGAGGAGAATTTCGAAGATAGAATCAATAGGCTGAGATTGAAAGCCAGAGAAGGAGTCAAGAATGGCTCCTTAGTTTCTGGTTTAGAGACTGGCTTGTTGGCCTACTATTAAATACACTGAGACCACAGGCAGGGTAGAGTTAGGGAAATGTGAGTTTCACTTGGAGAAATTACATCTACAGGTATACATTTAGAAATGTAACACCATCCATCAGCGGCATTAAAATCACAGGAGTGAGTGAAATGTTCCTGTAAGAGTATATAAAGAAAAGAAAATAGCAAAGGGCAGCATGTTGGGAGACACTAGTATTATTATTATTTTTTTTTTGAGATGGAGTTTCACTCTTGTTACCCAGGCTGGAGTGCAATGGCGCGATCTCAGCTCACCGCAACCTCCACCTCCTGGGTTCAGGCAATTCTCCTGCCTCAGCCTCCTGAGTAGCTGGGATTACAAGCATGCACCACCATGCCCAGCTAATTTTTTGTATTTTTAGTAGAGATGGGGTTTCACTATGTTGACCAGGATGGTCTCGATCTCTTGACCTCATGATCCACCCGCCTCGGCCTCCTAAAGTAGTGGGATTACAGGCTTGAGCCACCGCGCCCGGCGACACTAGTATTTAAAATTTAGAAAGAGAGCCCAGCAAAGGGGATGGAAACAGAATTTTCGGAGAAGGAGAGAGAGAGCCAGGAGACAGAACATTATGGAAGCCAAGTGAAGAGTGCAAGGATGTGGTGGATACAGAAAGGAATCAAACAAGAAAATGATTCCGAAATGATCACTGGGTAACTGGGAGGTCACTGGAGCCTTGGTGAGAACAGTTTCAGTCCCTGCCCTCTCCCTAAATCATCCTCCCTCCTTAAGAGAAGCCTGCTGAGTGAAGGACAACCTGAGCTGCGTATTTGGCCCTGACCAGACTGTGGTAGCATCTTAAAGGCCCAGCTGTGGGCAGAAGCTGCAGACAGCTGGGTTAGCCTGCCTTGGGCATGGGGACTGTGGAACTCAGGACACACCACCCCCAAAATACGACTGTAGAAAACTAGAATATGCCACCTCAAAATACACTTCTCTGGCATATTTGAGCAGGTTATTCTGAGAAACTGCAGACACAGGAGTAGCTCTGGAAAGTTGTCTTTTCATACAAAGAAATTGATATCTGTAAAGGACCTCTGTTCACCATACTCTTCCTTCCCTCACGTTCCGATAACTTGGATCAGCACCATCCCCGAGATGCCCCAACCCCTATTCCTTTCTATAGCTTGGGATGCTATATAAACGTCAATCATCTGACCTCTCTTCAAGTCTCATGTGTTCTGGGGCTCCTGTATATCTGCACATATAGCCTTGAACCTTATAATAACATTTTGGTCAATGACAAACCGCATATACAATGGTGGTCCCATAAGATTTTAATAGACCTAAAATATTCCTATCACCTAGTGATGTGGTAGCCACCCAATGTCTTAGTACAACGCATCACTCATGTGTTTGTGGTGATGCTGGTGTAAACAGACCTACCGTGCTGCCAGTCATATATACATGTGCAGTAATGTCCTAGCCTGGATGCAGTGGCTCATGCCTGTCATCCTAGCTCTTTGGAGGCTGACGCAGGAGGATTATTTGAGCCCAGGAGTTCAAGGCCAACCTGGGCAACATAGAGAGACCCTGTCTCCACAAAAAAATTTAAAAATTAGCTGGGCTTGGTGGCATATGCTTGTAGTCCAGCTAGTCAGGAGGCTAAGTTGGGAGGATTACCTGAGCCTGGGAGGTAGAGGCTGCAGTGGGTTGTGATGGCACCACTGTACTCTAGCCTGAGTGACAGAAAGAGACTTTATCTCAAAAAACAAAAAACAAAATCATAAACAAAAAACAGTCATATCCTAGGCCCTCACATTCACACACCACTCACTCACTCACTTGCCCAGAGCAACTTCTGGTTCTGCAAGCTCCATTCATGGTAAGTGCCCTATACAGGTGTACCATTTTAAATCTCCCTTTTTTTTTTTTTTGAAAGAGTCTCTATCTGTCACCCAGACTGGAGTGCAGTGGTGTGATCTTGGCTCACTGCAGCCTCCACCTCCTGGGTTCAAGCAGTTCTCCCACCTCAACCTACCAAGTAGCTGGGATTACAGGTGTGTGCCACCACGCATGGCTAATTTTTAAATTTTTAGTAGAAACAGGGTTTCACCATGTTGGTCAGGCTGGTCTTGAACTCCTGGCCCCAAGTGATCCACCTGCCTCAGCTTCCCAAAGTGCTGGGATTACAGGCGTGAGCCACTGTGCCCCACTTAAATCACCTATACCATATCTTTAGGGTAATTTTTCTGTTTAGATATGTTTAGATACACAAATATTATTGCATGACATTTGGTGACAATTTTCTTTTTCTTTTTTTTTTTTGAGATGGAGTCTTGCTCTGTTGCCCAGGCTGAAGTGCAATGGCACGATCTCGGCTCACTGCAATCTCCACCTTCCAGGTTCAAGCAATTCTCCTGCCTCAGCCTCCTGAGTAGCTGGGATTACAGGTGCCCACCACCACATCCAGCTAATTTTTGTATTTTTAGTAGAGATGGGGTTTCTCCATGTTGGCCAAGCTGGTGTCAAACTCCTGACCTCAGGTGATCTGCCTGCCTTGGCCTCCCAAAGTGCTGGGTTTACAGGTGTGAGCCACTGCACCCCACCTTGGTGACAGTTTTCAGGAGAGCAACGTGCTGTATAGGTTTGTGGCCTAGGAGCAATAGGCTGTACCAGAGAGCCTGGGTGGTTAGCAGGCTACACCATCTAAGTTTGTGTAAGTACACTCTATGGTGTTTGCACAATGACAACATCACTTAATAATGCATTTCTCAGAACATATCCCTATTGCTAAGTGAAACATGACTGTAATTAAAATGGTTTTTCTCCTGCTAATCTGTCTTATGTCAATTTAATTTGTAGCCCAGGCAAAGAATCTAGACGGGTAGAGAGAAGCCATTTTTCACTCCATCACAACACCATCTATAGCACCCAGCACTATGCCTGCACATAACAGGCATTTAGTAAACGCTGCAGGCCAAATGCAGGTGAGCCCCATCGCTTCATAATTTTGTTTCTAGCAAAGTCCTCTTTACTTAAAAGAGGCCTTTCCCTAGGCAATGAGGATATTTGCTTTCTGATGCAGGCCACCCTTGGTGAACTGGGACATTATATTCCCATCATCCTGGGGCCTGCTGTCCTCTCATTAAGCAGAACCTGTAGGTCGCGGATCAGTGGAGTGGAAAAAAGTCTAGGTGGAGTCTCTACTGATCTCCAGGCCTTTCCTGACTATCAGTTTTTCACGCTGTTCCCAAATGTGAAACCACCACACAGAAGCACAGTATGTAAGAGAGAGAGAGAGAGAGAGAGAGAGAGAGAGAGAGAGAGAGAGAGAGTGTGTGTGTGTGTGTGTGTGTGAGAGAGAGAGAGACAGAGAGAGAGAGAGAGAGTGTGTGTGTGTGTGTGTGTGTGTGTGTGTGTGTGTGTGTGTGTGGAGAGAGAGAAGAGAGAAATGGTTCACTTTCAGGACAGCTCAAGCCCCATTAAAGCTTGCAATTGCCGGGCGCGGTGGCTCAAGCCTGTAATCCCAGCACTTTGGGAGGCCGAGGCGGGTGGATCACGAGGTCAAGAGATCGAG